TGATCTCCAGTGGGGCGCCAAAACACCATGCCGCACATGGGCGGAGCGTCGGTGGGAGGAGGCGGGAATCAAAGTACGCAAACACCGAGTCTCACTTTTTTTATTCCGACAATAATTAACATATAATACTATACTAGAATACTGTATAACCATGAATGTATCGTTTTTGTTTGCAGAAAAATAGAGAAAATAACCGGAAGACAAAAGTCGGAAGCAAGAAGCCGAAGTTTCGAAAAACTCTGGAAGAAGCATTGCTTCTGTACTTTCAAAAGGCAAGAAGCGTCCAGAAAATCCGAATTTTTAATCCGATTTTTACAGGGTATCAGAAAATCTTCATTTTCCTGTATGTCGACTGGGCACTCCGGAAAAATGCAACTCAGAATGAGGATGGAAAAAGTTCTGGGACAGTGGGTAAATGTGAAAACGAATATCAGAGAAAAAAGTTGATTTGACGATTTTGAGATTTGGTTCTCATCAGAGCCTCTTCTTCAGCGCAGAGAGCTTCATCGAATGAAAGTGGTGGTGGTGGTTTTTTGATTGCACAGTAGTTGTAGAGTCCAAAAGCCAAAAGGAATGCTGCCCAGAAGACACCTCCAAAGTGGTCATTTTTTCCCATTCCGATCGAAATCCATTACCATGTTTCACAATCGGAATTGTCGAAGAAACATTCAGATTTTGATGCATTCTCAGAGAATGGGCTTTTCATGATTTCAGACGGAAGTGTTAAGTTCGCGGATTTCGAAAAAAAATTTCCAGTCGATAACTTGTGTCAGAGGTATAGCACAAAAAGAATTGGGAGCTTAAGGAGACTCCGACCAAAAATTTTTGTTGCATTAAAATGTGTTAAAAGTTATCTATTTTCCGAATATTATTGCGAAAAAATTCAAAGAAAATCCGAAATCCCCGAAAAACGGCGTTGAAAAGGAAGAAAATTCAAAAAAAGGTGCCGCCGGGGGACGAGGATTTTCAGTGAGAAACCTAGGCCACGGCAGCGGGTGCCTTTCCTACGTGGCAAATTTTCCGGATTTTTTTCAATTTCATGTCCGGCAGGTAAAAAACGTAAAAAACCACTGTCGGCGACTTGAAAAAAAGGCTGTCAGGTGCCGTGGCCTAGGTTTCTCACTGAAAATCCTCGTCCCCCGGCGGCACCTTTTTTTGAATTTTCTTCCTTTTCAACGCCGTTTTTCGGGGCCTTCGGATTTTCTTTGAATTTTTTCGCAATAATATTTGAAAAATAGATAAATTTTAACACATTTTGATGCAATAAAAATTTTTGGTCGGAGTCCCCCTTTAAAATCTAGATAATTCATTTCAGTTACTTCGAAACAACAATCAACATCATCTTCTGCTCATCGTCATCGACTGAGGCAAAAATGGACAAAACGAGAAGCTCCGATGCCGTTTCAGCCAGTACGACAACAGCGGAAGAGAATAATATAACTTTTAATTAATTGTTTTTTCGCTTTTCATTGTTTTTTTTTCTGTGTAATAAACAATTTTTAGCAGCTGCTAGCTTCCATATTCGAATCAATAAATGTGTCAATTATTGCTCTCGCGACAAGCCAATTGTTGGGGATTTGCTCGCGATAGGGCGAATATTGGTCGTTTGCGGTGGCGCGTTCGCGATTGGTCTGTAAATGGCTTTTTCGTCTGTAATATTCGTCTGTAAATGAACAATATTTCACCAATTATAGACGCTGAGCGAATCACCTGTGAGCTACCAAAATATTTTTGCATCTTTTTCAGGAGTAATAGTATCCGTCGCATGCCTCTTTGAGACCCGTTTCTTCATCCTCTACGCTCGTGAGACCTTCTGGAAGCATCTTCGACGTCCATGGCTTCTATTCAACTACACTATAGCGTTGACCTATATGCTGCCAACATATCTAGCAGTTCCAGATCAAATTTCTGGAAAAATCTATCAATTTGGGAGATATCCATGTCTTCCAAAAGAGGTTTACGATGAAAAAGTGTTTCTTTTGAGTACATGGAGCACTGGGGTGGCTTATAATTCATGTCTAAATACAGCTACACAACAGGCACTTATAATTGTTGGACTGATTTTTTGGAATATGAGAAAATCGACGAATGGAGTGAAAATCTCAAAAAAAACACTGGAAATGCATCGTCTATTTTTAAGAGCATTGATTTTGCAGGTTTGAAATTTCCTTTTGGCGCCAAAACCAATCAAAAAATTTGAAAAAAAATTCCAGGTCACCATCCCCTTGGTTACTGTACTTTCCCCACTTATCATTAACATTTTTATCATCTACAACTCTTATTACAATCAAGGAGCCAATAATATCTCGATTTGTATCATGGCCACACATGGTTTGGTGTCTACTATGGCCATGATCTACCTTCATAAATCGTATTGGGCGGTTTTAATGCAGATTTTGAGTCCGAAATGGTCGAATTCGAGGGTTTTCACACTTGTACACTCGAGACCGCAGGATTTTGTGTCTTAAAAGTTAATTTCATGGATTGAACTCGGCGCAGAAATAAAGAAAAAATACTTTTACCCCAAAAATACTCGAACCCGCGACCTCTAGATCATAAAGCATCTCTCTTATCCACAACACCATAAGGTCAACAAGGGGAAGCGACGCGGAGGTGTGTTTATAAAGCAGTGTGTTGGCGGAGGTTGGTGGGCGCCACGGTGCCTCCTTTCTTATACGACTTGGTTCGCTAAATTCTCATGTGACCGCGTGGTGTAGTGGGTAACGCTATTGCTTTTTAAATTGTAAGCCGCCAGTTTGATTCCCTTTGGGTTCAAAACGTTTTTGTTTTTTTCTTGGGAGTTTGAAACATGTACTGAGCATCGGGAACCCTTAAAACTACTAAATTTCTCTTGATCACATTTTTTTTGTATTTTCAGAGATTTTTACGAATTCTATCATGTCTATTATGAGCAATCTGTGTTAAAAACAATGAATAATTTTTTTCTTTTATTTTCTTTTAATTTTTCTATTTTTCCAGCGAATTTTCGGCTGAAAACGACTGAAAACGACCATTTTTTATTTCAAAGGATACTGTAGTTGGTGAAATCTGCACTTACGCGGGAGATCTGGCGCATTGTCTGCAGAATTTTTTCGGGCGGTTTTCAGATTTTCAAGCATATTTTTCACAATTTTCAACTCATTTTTGCCCCTTTTTCTTGCTTTTTTTTTGGTTTTTATGTAAAATTTAGGTTTTTATCGAAATTTGAACTCAAAAACATTGTTTTCAGACGAATTTACATCGAAAATGAAGATTTTCAAAGTGAAAATTTTAAAAACTCAAAATTTTCGATTTTTGGTGTTTTTTTGCCGGTTTTGGTGCTTTTTAGACCACTTTTAGACAATTTTTTAGCTGAAATTACCCGAAATTGCTGAGAAAATCCCCCAAAATCGACATTTTCCAGGTAAAATGAGAGCGTCGGCCGTTTCGAAGAGCGCTGCCGCCGCGCTGAAGACCAATGGAGGACCAGTGGCCCCGATCAAGGAGAAGGTGTGAGTTTTTTGAAAAAAAAGGTATGAAATTTTGAACTTTCAGCTTAAAAATGGCCTAACTGTCGTCGCGCAGGACAACAATGGTGCTGTTAGTCAGCTGGTGAGAAAAGTTGAAAAAATCGAATTTCAAGCTTAAAATAGAGGAAAAATCGCTGGAAAAGCCAGAAATTCTGACAGTTTTCATCTGAAATTTTGAAATTTTCTTAATTTTTGGAACCTAAAAGAGCCGGAAAATTAGCTAAAATACGATGAAAAATGCTGGAAAATTCAAAAATTTCCAGATCCTCGCCTTCCGCGCCGGCTCTCGCTACCAATCGGTCACCCAGCAAGGCCTCGTTCATCATATTCGAAACTTTGTCGGGAGAGATGCTCAATCCTATCCGGGTCTTCAGCTTGTCTGGCAAACCGGCGTTGTTGGTGGACAAATGGTAAAAATTATCACTTGAATTTCGAAAAAATTGATTTTAAAACCTGAAAATAGCGTTTAAAATGCTCTAAAACTCGGGATTTTGGGTCAAAATCGTTCTAATTTCGAATTTTTTAGTTCAAAATGAGCTTTTAGAGCGATTTCCATCACTAAAAACCTGAAAAAGCATATTTCCGGGCAACTGAAAAGCTCCAAAACTCGGAATTTCAGGCCAATATGGGCTTTTTTGACGAAAAATTGATATTTTCAGGCCAGAAAATCCGGTTTTCAGGTTAGAATTCAGATTTAGAGACGGAAAATTCAGATTTCTAGATGAAAATAGCTATTTTTAGGCCAGAAAATTCGGTTTTAGGTCAGAATTCAGGTTTTGGGACGGAAAATCCAGATTTTTAGGTGAAAAATTGCAATTTTTTTGTACAAAATTTGGATTTCAAGTCGAAAATTCATTTAATGGGCCAAAAATCGTATTTTCGCTTCAGAATTCATATTTTGAGACGGAAAAATCCTGATTTTTGATTAAAAAATTAGAATTTTTAGGCCAGAAAATCTGGGTTTTCTGGTAAAACTCGGGTTTTCAGACCTAAAAATCGTATTTTGAGGACAGAAAATCCGGGTTCTTTTGTTGAAAATTTGGATTTTTAAGCCAGAAAACCCTATTTTTAGGTTCAAAATGAACTTTTAGAGCGATTTCCTACCATTTCCAACACTAAAAACCGTATTTCCAGACCTCCTTCGCCTCCCGTGACATCTTCGGAGTCCAAATCTCGGTGCCCCGCGAGGAATCCGCCTACGCTCTCTCGATTCTCGGCCACGTGGCATCGAAACCCGCATTCAAACCATGGGAAATCGAAGATGTGCTTCCAACGATTCGTGCGGATATTGCTCATAAAAGTATCTATACTCAGCTGTTCGAGGATCTTCACAAGGCCGCATTCCGTAATGATTCGCTTGCCTATTCGATTTATTCGTCCAAAAAGCAAGTTGGAGCATTTGGATCGGAGGAGCTCTCGAAATTCGCTGCGAAACACTTTGTGACTGGAAATGGATGTCTTGTGGGGATCAATGTGGATGGGGAGATTCTAAAGAGCTATGGAGAGGAGTCTGGAACGATTTCAGAGGGACAGTCGGTTCACAATCATATGGAACCGTTCAGGGTGGGTTTTGGGTGGCCTAGATGGTTGAAAACCCCAAAAAATCGTCAGAAATCCCTGAAAATCGCCCTGAATTTGGGAAAAAATCCTTGAAAATCGCTCAAATTTGAACAACAAACCCAAAAATTCATCAAAAAAAATCCCCAAAGATCGTCGAAAATCGTCAAAGCATTCGGAAAATCATCGAAATTTTGAAAAAAAAAGTACAAATCTTCGAAAAGTTTCTTTAAAAATCCTCTAAAATCGCCGAAAATTAAACATTTTTACATTTTTTTCGAATTCTTCAGTAGAAAAAAATGCACATTTTCAGATTTTTGCCACTTTAGAATGGGCTCCTGAGGCTTATTTTCATAATTTTTCAGGGATTTTTTCTTTATGTTTAAGCTAAATTACATACTTCTTCAAACAAAATGAACCTTAAATTTCTTATTTCAGGGAGGAGACTACCGTCGTTTCGCCCGCGGCGACACTGTCCATATCATGATCTCAGGAGCCGGATCACCACTCTCCGAACTCAGACAACTCGCCTCTCAATATGTATTCCTCGCCCATATCGGCCGTACATCTCCACTGAAATTCGCATCAGTCCCAGGAACAATGAGTGGTATGGGAATGGCTGGACTCCCGTCTAGTTTCGCTGGATCTGCATTCCAGGCGCCGTATGATGGAACTGGACTCGCTGGCGTCTATATGGTTTCCGATGCTAGCCATTCGGATCTCGCTGTCAGAGCTGCCGTCAAGGCATTGAGACAGACGAAGGTTCAAGATTTGGAGGGTAAGAAATTGGCATAAAAATCGTCTAAAAGCCTCTTTTTTCATCGTTTTTGGTCCGGAATTTTGTGAAAATTGGCTCCAAATCGTCCAGAAGGACTATTTTCAATAGGTTTGAGCTCAAAATGACCGGTTTCAGGCCTATAAATCGCTAGAAAATCCCATATTTGGGTTATTTTGACCCGGAAAATGCGAAATTTCCGATCTATTTTCGATGAAAATTGACCTTTTTTGACCCATAAAAAGCGAAAAATGTCTGAAATTCGCAAAAAATCCAATTTTTCTCTTTTTTACTTGAAATCATCTACTATTTGTACCAGAAAAATTCTTTGAAATCGTTAAAAATGGCTGAATTTGTCTGAAAAACTGCAGAATCCGCCGAATGTCCTTTTCAGCAATGTTTCCAGACCTCTAAATTGCTAAAAATTGCATTTTTAGAGCAATTCTGACTCGGGAAATGCTCATTTTCTAGTCTATTTTTGATGAAACTGGATTTCCAGGCTGCAAACGTCGTGCCATCTCCGAGCTTCTCTTCTCCATGGAAAACTCGACGCATTTGGCGTATGAGCACGCTACAAATGCTCTTTACAAGGGACCAGACGCCTCCACCCTGATCGCTGAAATCCAGAAAATCACCGATTCGGACATTGAGAAATATGTGAAGTTCACATTCGAACATCTCGCCATCGCCGCCCATGGCAACCACTTCAAAGTACCGTACTCGGATGAGATTCATCAGATTGCCTAATTCATTTTTCTCTCTTTTTTGGTCCTTTTTTGTTCCCCGAAAGCCCTTTTTTTCTCTATTTTCGCTTGATTTTTCCGCATTTTTTGTAGTTTTTTTTAGCTTAAAAGATGGATTTTCTGTGATTTTTATTCAATTTTTCAATTCTCTTTAAAACTAAAATATTCCCAGATCTATGGAGGAATCAGCCGGAATTCCGGGATTTGTGGTGAGTTTCAAGCCTTGAAAATCGCCAAAATTTTGAAAAAGAAAACCTAACAATCGTCGAAAATCTGGGAAAAAAATCCCTAAAAATCAGCGAAAATTGATGAAAAATTTCATAAATATTGCCTAAAATTTGGGAAAAAAACCTAAAAATCGCAAGGAAATTTGAAAAAAAAATCAGAGAAATCAACAAAAAACTATGAAAAAAAAACCCCAAAAATCGCCGAAATTTGTTCAAAAAATCCTTGAAAATCGCCAAAAGTTTGAAAAAAAATTCTTGAAAATTTGAGAAAATTTGAGAAAAACTTCAAAAAAAAAACTTGAAATCGCCGAAAATTTTAGGAAAAAAATCCCTTAAAATTAGGGAGAAAACTCCAAAAGTTTTAAACTCCAAAATTAGATTCAAAAACATAAAAATCGCTGAAATTTGAAAAAAAAAATCCATTTTCAGCTAAATTTCGAGCATTTTCAGCCAATTTAAGCTCCAAAATTTACAGATCCGTTCTCCATCCGAGCTCAAACATCGACGAAATGCAAGCGAAAATTCAAATTTCAAGGGGTTACTGTAGAATTTTGCTACACAATTTGAATTGGGATTTTCGCGATATTTTTGAAAAAATCCTCAAAAATCCAAGTTTAATGCCAAAATCTACAGTAACCCAGCCCATCAAAAAATCCCTAAAAATCGTCAAAAACAGGCAAAAAAACCAATTTTTTCGAAATTTTTGAAGTTGGCGCCATTTTTTGATTTTTCCGAAAAAAAATTTCGAGTCAAAATGTCCTGAAATTCGCGAAAATCATTGAGAAAAAATTGAGAAAAAACGGCGAAAAGACAATTTTTTTCGAATTTTGCGTCTCACAGCGAAAACTACAGTACCCTAACTTTCTTTGAAGATTTTCCGAGTTTTTGAATTTTGAAAAATTACGATTTTCGGATTTTTTTGAGACTATTTCAAAACTTTTGTCTTTTTTTCGCTATTTTTCGATTTTTCCGAAAGAAATTCGAGCCAAAAATGTCCTGAAATTGTCAAAAACTTTTTTAAAAATCTCAAGAATTGCTGAAAATCTATATTTTGAGAAAATAATGCCTTGAAATTGGTGACATTTTTGAGAAAAATCTTTAAAATTTCGCCGAAAATTTAAGAAAAAGTACCTAAAAATCGGCAAAAAATACCGAAATTTTGCGAAATTTTCGAATTTGGCGCCATTTTTCAATAAAAAAAACTCTGAAAATTGTCGAAAAAAACTTTTTTTTTTCGAATTTTCATCGCTTTTTCGTTGTTAAAAATCCATAAAAATTAAGAAATATCGTCGAAAATTGAGGAAAAATCCATGAAAATCGCTGACATTTTTGGAAAAAAAATTCTTGAAAATCAAGGAAAAAAACTCCAAAAATCGCCAAAATTTTCGAATAAAATTCTAAAAATCGCGGAAATTTTGGAACGAAATTTTCGTTACGAAATGTACCTAAAAATCGTCAAAACAGCACCATTTTTCTAATTTTTTGCAATTTAAGCGCCAAAAAAAAATCGATTTTCAGAGCCCCCGAAGCAGAAAATCGTCGCGGCGGTGATCTTCGTTTGGAGTTCGATTTCAAAGGATTCCTCAAACATTTTGGGAAATCCTTGACTACAGTAAGCCCGGTGAACAACTTAATTTGAATCTCAAAATTTGAATTTTTCAGAAAAACTAAATTCTCCAAAAATCTTAAAAAACGCTGGAATTGGCCTACATCTTCGCCTATTTCCAGCCCGGGACCTCTCAAGAAATTTTGAAAATCCTGAAAATTTTGGAATCCAAAACTGAGAAATTCGAGGGATTTCTAGATCTGGAGGGCCCAAAACACCAGGAAATTCTGGAAAAAAAGGCTCAAATTCTGGAGATTCAAGTCAAGAAACTATTGGATTACTGTAACAACCCGGACGCTGTTTGAAATACGGTAGATACTGTGCAAATGGTCAAAGCCCCACAAATTCCCATTGAGCAAATTGTGATTCCATTTCTCACCTGTCTTGGCTGGATTCGCTCTGGACCCATTATTCTTTAATTTCGCCTCTATTTTCCCCGCTTTTCTGTATATCACCCCTACAACTGCCGATAAACTGCCCCCAACCATCGGAAATCTGTTCTATGCCCTGTCTTAATATGTCGTTCTCGTTCTCTTGCTCATCATATCCCTACTAGCTACTGTATTCCGAAATCTTGGAGGTTGCTTTACCAACGCTTCAAGATTTCTAGCAGGCGCTCATGGTATCATTGACTTGTATGTACACCCACCACCTCATGTGTAATGTCGAAAAATCCCATCTCGTCTTTTCTCTTTTACGTGTATCAATTGTATGGTTTTCACCTATTTCACGATATAAAGTATTTAAGGGATTTGAAAATTCAAAACTGCGTTTTATATTCACAAAATTCGATAAATTCACAAATTTAGGCCATCAAAAAATTTTAAAATTCGATTTATTCTGGAAAATTTTCAATTTTTAGGTCTAAACATTTTTTTCGAATTTTTATTTTGGGCCGTTTTCAGGATTTGAATTTCTTTTAATCAAAGAACTCTTAAAATTTTGAAATTTTATCAAAAATGATTTTTGGTCTAAAAATTTGAAATTTCGATTTTCAGGCAAAATTTTAATTTTTTGGAGATTTTCAGAGCTTTGGAAGCTTATTTTCTTGAAAAATGTTCAAATATTTATCCATCGTTGAGAATGGATTTGGCCTTTTTTAAACAGAATTTAGGTAAAAATCGAATTTGTCTCCATTTTTCCAGTTTTTGGGTTCTTTTCTGCTGAAATTCGATATATTTTTCGATAAAAGCGGTTTATAAAAATTTAAAAACTCAATTTTCATGTTTTTTCACCTTTTTTCCATCGAAAACGAGCTTTTTCTAAGCGAAAAATCCCCAGAAATTCGTTGAGAAATTAAAGGCGCATACTATTTCGCCGGCGGGTTTCGCCGCGATTCGACACGCCGCGAAACGAGTGTGACCGTAGTCTCGGCGCACACTGCTTCGTTTTGCGTTTTCTTTTATTGGGTTTTCGCAGTTTTTTGTCGTTTTTGGCCTAAATTTTTGCATTTTTATTGGAAAAGTTACTTTTAGAATAAATTAGAATTATTAAAAACTTACTTTATCGCATTTTCAGGGCAAATTTATGTCGAAAATTCGATTTTTCAATTTAGGCCTAAACTTGAAAAATTCAAAAAAATTGTATTTTCAATTTTCTTCAATTCGCCAGCGATTTTTCTGAATTTCCTCATTATTTTTCACCGATTTTTCTCAGTTTCTCTCGAAAATCCTCATTTTCTCGTCTCCATTCTTCAAATATCACCTAAAAATCGATATTATTCCAGGTAACACACCATTACAATGCCACAGGAAATCAAGGAGATCAAGGACTTCCTTGTGAAGGCCCGCAGAAAGGATGCCAAGTCTGTCAAGATAAAGAAGAACACCAACAACACCAAGTTCAAGGTCCGCTGCGCCAGCTACCTCTACACCCTCGTCGTCGCCGTGAGTTTTTTGAATTTTGCTCTCTGGCCGAGATTGAGGCTAAAAGGCGAGAATTTGGCCGTTTTTCTGTCATTTTTCTGCTGAAAAAATGGCAACTGAAGCTCTGGTTGTTGGAGTTTTGTTGATATCAGCAGTGTCGGGAGCTTCGAATGCTCCAATTTCGTTTTTAGCTTCCCAATACACAGAAAAGAGCTTATTTTTGCTCGAAAATAGCTAAAATCGGCCAGATTATCCCCGAAAGTTCAACTTTCCGATCGTGAATTACCTATTTTCTCTAATGGAAGTCCACACAGACAGTCAACTTTGAGTTCAATTATCTTGATACCCGTGAGAGATACTGAAAATCTGTCAACTAATAAAATGTTTTCCGTAAAATGACCAACATTTTATTAGCTGAAAATTTATCGATATCTTTGACGAAAAGCAAGATAAATGAGCTCAAAGTTGAAGGCTCGGGTGGTATTTAGAGGAAGCACAGTATTTTAGCCAAGAAAGTACTGAAAATTCGCCCAAAACCATAAATTCCTCCAAAATATTCAATATTTTCTTTCAGGACAAGGATAAGGCCGAGAAGCTGAAGCAATCCCTCCCACCAGGCATTCAAGTCAAGGAGCTCAAGTAGATTAATCACACATTCTTCTTCTTCGATGCTCACTGTTTTACATTATGAATGTTCACAATGTTATATCTCTTGTTTGTTTTAGCAATTTCAGATAATTAGAAATCTTTATGAGCAAATTGAAAAAGGGGACAAATAGAAGTTTATAGTTCTGGGACTACCCGGGTAGTGATAAATTAGGTTAAGAAAAAAAATTAATTATAAGAGTTGTGTTCGCAATGCGGATCATCCGGAGTGTGCGCCATCCAGGGACACTTCAAATTCGACTGACCGCACGGATTATGGCCGATTGCGCAGTACCTGGAAGAAGGTAGAGTTTTTTCAAAATCAGAGAAAAAAAACGAACCAATCATGATAGAAGAACAAGTACATAGTGGTGAAGAGCACGGAGACATAGAAGACAAGGGAAAGGAGCTCGAGCCTCCGAATCACAGCTTGCCATTTGGTATTGATGTCTTCCTGAGGGATCAGCGTCATCATTTCGGACCTGGAAATCATGGAGAATATGAATTCTGAGGTATATTTTCCCAAAAACCTAATCTCCGCAATGGTCCTATCCATCCTGGTGACCCCATTGGCAATATCCTCCAGTGCTTGCTCATAGTACTGATAAATGAGCATATTGTCGTACTGGGACATGCTCAAACGTCTTCTAATCGATTCTCTGGCTGGTGTTGGGTTGTCCTGGAAAGGAAATGATAAAATTTTGTAGTTTGTAGTCAAATTTTAAACTCAAAAATCAATTTTCAAAAAAATAAGGAAACAATAGTGATATCAGAACCTGGTGATAAGCGTGAATGTGTTGCATATGAAATGGCGACGACGCTTGATTCCCATTATCGGCATTCGATCCAGGGCGAGGAAGAAGGCTGAGCAATGAGGCGGCCACCCCGCGAGCCTTGTCTCGAATCCCGGTTCGCACGTGGCCATTCGAGAGGAGATGCTCCTGAAATTGGTGGTGGGAAAAACGAGAAAACATGCTTGAGTGGTGGTGGGGGGTGGAAGAGAAAAATCTTAGGCCACTTTGGGGGATTTTCGTGCATTTTTATACAGTAAAAGGAACTCACTGATGGTGGCTGCGACATCGCTTGTGGACGGTACCGGGACAGTTTTCTGGAAAAACTCAATTTTTTTGAAAATCTGGGAATTTCTGAAAAAAATTATTTGCAAAAAAAGAGTTCTCTGAAACGCGTCTAGGCTACTGTAAAAAATACAAAAAATTTGAGGAAATTTAAGTGATTTTAAGCAATTTTAGGCCAAATTTGCATTAGAGCGCGTTTGCTAAAAAGTTTAAATTTTAGTTTTTTCGTGGTTTTCAGCATATTTTAAGTCACTAAACTCATTTTTACGCACAAAATTTTGACTAGAAAAAATCTAAACTCAATTATTGGCGAAATTTGAGCGATTTTAAGCTAAATTTGCATTGGAGCGCACTTGCTAAAGTTTTGAAAAGTGCTGATTTTTTAAGGTTTTTGTGTTAGTTGTTGATGGGGAAATCGATTTCGAGCAGTTTTAGTGTTGAAAAATGAGTTTAAGACGTGTTTTCGGGAAAATTTGCATTGGAGCGCATTTGCTAAAAAGTTTAAAATTTAGTTTTTTCGTGGTCTTCAGCATATTTTCAGTCACTAAACTCATTTTTACGCTCAAAATTTTGTTTAGAAACAATCTAAACCCAAGTATAGGCGAAATTTGAGTGATTTTAAGCCAAATTTGCATTGGAGCGCACTTGCTAAAATTTAGTAAAATGCTGATTTTTCGATGTTCTCGGGCCAGTTTTTGATGGAGAATTCGAATTTGAGCAGTTTAAATCGTTTAGAAAGAGTTTAGGACCGATTTAAGGCCAAATTTGCAAATTCGCATTAGAGCACATTTGCTAAAGTTTTGAAAAATTCCGCTTTTAGAAGGTTTTCGGACTAGTTTTTGGAAGGGAATTCCATTTTGAAAAGTTTCAGCCCTCAAAAACGATTTTTAGGCTTATTTTGGGGATATTTGCATTGGAGCGCGTTTGCTAAAAAATTTAAAAATTCCGTTTTTCCGTGATTCCCAGCTAATTTGAAAACGTAGAACTCATTTTTATTGTCAAAGCTTTATTATAAGAGCGTCTTGACCTAATTTTAGATTAATTATAATCAAATTATCAATGGAGCGCATTTGCAAAAATTTTGAAAAAATGCCGATTTTTCAAGGTTTTCGGGCTAGTTTTTAGTGGGGAATACGATTTTGAGCGGTTTGAAAACTGAAAAATTAGTTTTAGACCTATTTTGAGGATATTTGCATTGGCACGCATTTGCTGAAAATTTTGAAAGTTTCGTTTTTCCGTGACTGCCAGCCGATTTGCAGGCGTCAAGCTAATTTTTTGCTTCAAAAATTGGTTTTCAGATATTCTAAACCCAATTATAGACCAATTATAGGCAAATTATCAATGGAGCGCATTTGCTTAAACATTGAACAAAATTAGTTTCTTGATAGTTTTCGGGCTAGTTTTTGATGGGGAATTCAATTTTAAGTAGTTAAAATCTTTGTGAGGCGCCATTTTTTCAAAAAATTCGAAATTTTAAAAAATTAAAAAAAAAAATTTTTTTCAAAAATTCGAAAAATTTTTTTTTCAAACATTTTTTTTTTGATTTTTGGGAAATATTCAAAATCCCGCCCACACAATATTTTTTTTCACACTCACCTCGCAATTTTCGATGGTGAAATATCGAAAGAGAGCCACTTTAGGTACCACGGGACATTCAATTTAACCCGCGACTCCCGTTCCAAATAAACAAACATCGAGGTGGTTACTGTAGACATGCCAATGATTGCCAAGAGAATGAAATAGTACAATCCGATCAGCGGAATTCCAGAAAACGAGCCACGACCCCGTCGATTGGTACCCATTGAGAATTTCGGCATGTCCTCCACTATGGCTAGCAGGATAACTGACATACTCATCAGGGTCATTATGCCCAGACGGAATTTTGCGTCTCTGAAAATAAAAATTTCAAAAAAATTGAAAAATTCAAAAAAAAATTTTTTTTTCAGCATTTTTTTTTATTTTTTGACTCCAAAATCGCTTGTATTTCTTTTCTTCTAAATACTGCTGAAAAAAGTGCAAAAACCTACACAAAATTCGGTCGATTTTGAGTGATTTTAAGCCAAATTTGCATTGGAGCGCATTTGCAAAATTTTGAAAAATTACAAATTTTCAAGGTTTTCCGGCTGGTTTTTGGTGGGTAATTCGATTTTGAGAAGTTTAAGTATTCAAAAATGAGCTTAGGGCTTGTTTTAAGGAAATTTGCATTGGAGCGCATTTACAAAAATTTTAAAACAGTTGATTTTTCAGGGTTTTCGGGCTAGTTTTTGATGAGGAATTCGATTTTCAGCAATATTAAGGTTGAAAAATAAGTTTTAGGCTTGTTTTGGGGTGATTTGCATTGGAGCGCATTTGCTATAACATATCGAAAAAATTGGTTTTTTTTTCGGGGTTGTCAGCAAATTTGCATGCGCTGAGCTCATTTTTACTATTAAAAATTTATTTCAAGCGAATCTAAAACCAATTTTTCAAGATTAACAAAAAAACAAAGTTTTTGAAATTTTCAAAAAAAAATTTTTTTTTCGAAAAACTTCAAATTTTGTGACGATTTCTGACATTTCAGACTGAAAACCATGTAGTTTGAAGCATTTTGCACTGAGAGAGAGAGGGGTTTGAAACTTTGGCGCTTCTAAAAAGTAGTCGGCTATGAAAATTGTGATTTTCAGCATTAAAAATAATAATTTCTTAGGAATTTGTGAACAACTGATAGAAAATGAAATTTCAAACTTTTCAAGCTTAAAATCAAAAGTCTAGGTTGAAAATGAAGAAAGTTGAGGAATTTTGAAAGCCAAAAAAAGTGAGCTTGAGAAAGTTGAGTGTAGGTACCGTAATCTTGACGGAGTTTTTAGAAATTTATATCTGCTTCGAAGAATAAGAAATTTCCTATTTTTCGAGCTAAAAACCAATGTTTTTGGTAAAAAATGAAAAAAGTTATAAGGTTTTGAAATTTTTCAAAAAATGATTGAAGCCAAAAAAAGTGAGCCTGAGAAAAGTGAGTGTAGATACCGTAATTCTAACTGCATTTTTGCGAATCTAATATTGTATTGAAGAAAAATACATTTCCTACATTTTGAGCTAAAAACCGATGTTCTAGGGTAAAAATGAGAAAAGTTATGGGGTTTTGAAGTTTTGAAAATTAAAAAAAAAACATTTTCCCAAAAAATTTTTTTTAAGTTCAATTCTTTAAGTTTCTAAAACTCACCTCATTCTCCCACTTGTACTAGGTGTATGAAAACCAATAACCGATACCAGGGTGATCATTGTACTAGGTATGACCAAGTTGAAAACTGCAAACATTTTTTTTCAAATTTTCAAATTTTTTTAATTTCCCGCCAAACCAACCATAATAAAAACTCTGCCGCTTCATGACCAACGTAATAATGATCATCTCCCAGAAAAGGGGCGGGTCCAGATAGTCATACAAAAACCCATCCGAGTGTACTGAGCTATTATGGGTGTCCAGCTCCCATTCTTGATTGTCATAAAAATCGATAAGTGATAAATTTTGAGAATACAGACTGTATTTGATAGAATCATTTGAATGAGCCCATGAGCCGAAGAGCAGGGTGCATTGTTGGCTGGAATTAAAGTCATTAAAAAAGACGAAAAAAGGAAGTAGGTCCTGGCCGGGTTCGAACCGGCGACCTTCTGCGTGTGAAGCAGACGTGATAACCACTACACCACAGGACCATTCGAAGGAGAGAAGGGGGAGTGGCGTTTATAAAGGAGTGGGGAGACGCAGACAGCGAGGAGGGAGGGGGAGGAGGGGAGAACTCACACATCAAATGGGAAGAACTTCACGTCCAATTTGCACAGAGATTCCGATGAAAATGGAATATAATAGCGAACATGACCCGTATAATTCACTCGAATATCATTGTTGGATTGGAGTTTGACAGCGTCGTTGAAGTTTAGACTGAAAATTGCTTGCGGTGGAATTTGCACTTTTTGGGGTTAAATAGTAGGATTTTTGATATTTAAGCTGTATTTAGTGGTAATGTTTTATAGCGTTGCGAAAAGAAGGGGCAATTTCTGACATTTTAAGCCAAAAACCATGCGGTTTGAAGCATTTTGAGCTGAGATAAGGCAATTTGAATATTTGGTGCCACTAAAAAGTAGTCGGCTCTAAAAATAGTGCATTTTCAGAATCAAAAAGTTCAGGAATTGTGTGAATATTTACATAATCTAAGAGACAATGAAATTTATCGCTTTTCAATCTAAAAATCAAATTTCTAGGTCAAAAATGAAGAAAGTTATAGGATTTTGAAATTTTTCAAAAAAAGCTTGAAGCTAAAAAAAGTCAGCTTGAGAAAAGTGAGTGTAGGTACCGTAATTTGAGCGGAATTTTTAAACAATTTATATTTGTTTCAAAGAAGAAAAAATTTCCTATTTTTTGAGCTAAACATCAATGTTCTAGGTAAAAAATGAAAAAAGTTATGGGGCTTTGAAAATTTCTAACTATCAAAAAATGAAGTCAACTATATCTACCTTAATCTGAGCTAAATTTTTTAGAATTCAAATTTATTTTAAAGAAAAAGAAATTTCCTATTTTTTGAGCAAAAAACCAAATTTCCATGTCAAAAATGAAGAAAGTTATGGGGTTTTGAAATTTTGAGAATTTCAAATGAAAACAAAAATTTTCGAACTTTTTCAAAAATTTTCAAACTTTTTAAAAGGACTGTTGTTAATTTTCATGAGGTACTTCTGCCAAAAATCTAGGTTTTAGAAAAATTAAAAAAAAAATTTTTTTAAAGAAAAATCTCATTTTTCTGTTTTTTTTCAAATTTTTTCAAAATTTCCTGTCCCCAAAAACCTTGCAAAAAAGTTTTGGACCCAAAAAAAATCGAACTTTTGACCGTTCTCCTCAAGAACACCTCTCTTACCAACTGCGCCATCTCGCGTTTAATCGCCCCAAGTGAGCATGAGTAAACTGGCAACAGGTACCGTAATCTTGACCAAATTTTTGGAAATTTATATTTATATAGACAACGAAGAAATTTCCAGTTTTTTGAGCCAAAACCAAGCTTCTAGGTCCAAAATGAATGAAGTTATGGGACCTGGAAATTCCGGAAAACTAGAAATTTCCAAAAAAAAAAGTGGGCTTCAGAAAATTGACTGTAGGTACCGTCATCTGAGCCCAATTTCATAAGATTCTGGTTTGTTTTTAAGAAAAATAAATTTCCAATTTTTTGAGCTAAAAACCAATATTTCAGGTAAAAAAAGAAAAAAGTTATGGGGTTTAAAAAAAAAGAAATTTTTTTGATTTTTGGAATATTTTCAACTTTTCCTGAATCAAAGAAATTTGCAAAAAATTTTTGACCCCAAAAGAAACGAACTGTTGACCTTTCTCCTCAAAACCACCTCTCTTACCAACTGCGCCACCGCGCGCTTAGGCACCCAAAGGGTGCCGCGGCAGCTCAAAGCGCGCGCGTGGCGCAATGGGCAATAGGGGTGGTTTTGAGGAGAAAGGTCAAAAGTTCGATTCTTTTTGGGTCCAAAACTTTTTTGCCATTTTTTTGTGTTAGGGAGTTTTTTCCCCTAACTTGACTTATTTTCCCTCTAGAAACTTGATTTTAGGCTTAAAATGTCTGGAATTTTCTGGATTTTTTTTTCAAAAATCAATAATACTATATGGGTGTGTATGTCTATCATAGAACAACAGAAAAACATGTATCCCTGTTATTTGTGGTCGTAAACCGTATCACCCCTTCTCACAGGTTTTGGAACGTGTTCTTCATCTCTCTCCCCTTCATCATCTTCACACAATTCTTTTAGAATCTTTTCTTTATTTCTCTTTTTCTCTAAATCTCTTGTTTTCGAATACTCTCTCGCTCTCTGAATGACATCTAACCTTGGATTACAGTTTTTTTCATTGCAATTTTATTGAGTTTTTTTTTGGGGGAAGTACGGTTTTACACTGATAGTGGGGTGATAAGTTATCAGAGTGATAAGATTTATCTCTCTGTTTTTGTTAGAGGCGAGACAACGGTGACGTAATCAGCTTATCATGTTATTTCGGACAGTTTTTTAAGCTGGAAACCAAGTTTTAAAACATCAAAAAATTCAAAAACCCGAAAAATTTTTTTTGAAATTTTTTCTAATTTTGGCGCCAAAAAATGTATCGAACAATTTGCAAAAAATATTGGACCTCAGAAGAATCGAACTTTTGACCTTTCTCTTCAAAACCAATCCTCTTACCCACTGCGCCACGCGCGCGCTTTGAGCTACCGCGGCACCCTTTGGGTGCCTAAGCGCGCGGTGGCGCAGTTGGTAAGAGAGGTTGTTTTGAGGAGAAAGGTCAAAAGTTCGTTTCTTTTGGGGTCAAAAATTTTTTGCAAAGTTTTTTGATTCAGGAAAAGTTGAAAATATTCCAAAAATCAAACAACTGTTTTTTTTTTTCAAAATTTTTGGAATTCCCAGAATTTCAAAACCCCATAACTTTTTTCTTTTTTTACCTGAAATATTGGTTTTTGGCTCAAAAAATTGGAAATTTATTTTTCTTAAAAACAAACCAAAATCTTATGAAATTGGGCTCAGATGACGGTACCTACAGTCAATTTTCTGAAGCCCATTTTTTTTTGGAAATTTCTAGTTTTCTGGAATTTCCAGGTCCCATAACTTCATTCATTTTGAACCTAGAAACTTGGTTTTTGGCTCAAAAAAATGGAAATTTCTTCGTTGTCAATATAATTATAAATTTCCAAAAATTTGTCAAGATTACGGTACCTACATTCAGTTTCCTGAAACTCACTTTTTTTTGAAAATTCGATTTTTTGAAATTTTCAATCCCCTATAACTTTTGTCGTTTTCTACCTGGAAACTTGGTTTTTAGCTTGAAAAATGTGAAATTACTTCTATTTTACGTTTTCTGCATTTTTATAAATCACAAATCCCATTAAACAATCTTTGTGTAACGATTTTCGATCATCAACTTTTTTTTCTTCTATCTGCTTCCCTTTGAACCTGCCGTTCCTCATTTATTTTCACTTTCTCCTCGTTTTCCTTTTTTTAGCTACAGTACTTCTTTTCCCTTGTTCAATGAGATCATTCATGTTCCTTTAAAAGTTCCAAATTTCCCCAAAAAATCCGCTTACCTGTAATACAACGAAAATTCGGGAATCCAAATATCGGAACTCGACAAAAAAATCTCTTCGGCGCCCTCGTAGCTCGGCGGATTCCATTTCAAGAATTCGTCCTCCCAATACTGCAAAAAATGCAAAAAAATTGAGGAAAATTGAGTGATTTTGAGCGATTTTAAGCCAAATTTGCATTGGAGCGCGTTTGCTAAAATTTTTAGAAAATTGTGTTTTTTGACGGGTTTAGGGCTAGTTTTTAGTGGGAAATTCGATTTTGAGCAGTTTGAGAGATTTAAAATTAGTTTAAGCCTCGTTTTCGAGAGATTTGCATTGGAGCGCATTTGCTCAAAGTTTGAAAACTGTGTTTTTAGAGGTTTTCGGGCTAGTTTTTGATGGGGAATGCGATTTTGAGAAGTTTAAACTATTTAAAATAAAATTAAGCCTTGTTTTGGAGAGATTTGCATTGGAGCGCATTTGCTAAAATTTTGAAAAAATTGTTTTTCAATTTTTTTAAAGGTTTCCGGACCAGTTTTTGGCATTAAACTCATGTTCAAGCTCGAAAGTTGGTTTCATGCAGTCCCGGAGACAATTTTAGGCCAATTATCAAAAGAGCACATCTGCAAATTTTTTGAAAAAAAATTTTTTAAATGTTTTCAGACTAGATTTAGGTGGGGAACTCGATTTTGAGCAGTTTTAGTTCTTGATGATCAGTTTTTGGCAAGTTATAGACCAATTATCAATAGAGCGCATTTTCCAAAAAGTTTCGAAATTTCGTTTTTTTTTGTGATTTTCAGCTAATTTGAAGGCGGAGAACTCATTTTCAGCGTCAAAATTTTGTTTCAAGAGGTTCTAAACCTAACTATAGGCCAATTAAGACCAATTATAGCCCAATTATCAATTGAGCGCATTTCTCCAAATTTTGTCGTTTTCTGTCTTATTTCCTTGATTTTCTGCGGTTCCACCAGGTAACTAAAACTTGCAGTTCCTTCTTTTTCTTCTTCTTCTTCTTCTTCTTCTTGTGTAACATTACAATTAATTTTAGGCTCCGCCCACTTTTTTCTCTTTTCTTGTAACTTCCTCGATTTATCAAGTAGTTGTGTGTTGCATCTATTATACTGGTCTTTTTGAGAAAACGACCTTCAAATTTCTCTTCTTTTTCTGTCTTGGTTTTATTGGTTTTAGGGAAATTTTGGATTTTTTAATTCCCCCCTCCCCCTCTCTCTCTCTCTCGCCGCCGGCTCCCCGCGCCCCCCCCCTTTATAGTTGATACTTGCCCCTCTCTTCCTCGTGTGGTCCTGTGGTGTAGTGGTTATCACGTCTGCTTCACACGCAGAAGGTCGCCGGTTCGAACCCGGCCAGGACCTACTTCCTTTTTTTGTCTTTTTTGGATAATTTTAATTCAATGCTAATGTATGTTTTTTTGTATATATAGGGGGTAGGCGCTAAACTGGCCTTGACGGGTGGAAGATGAATTGTCCACTTGTATTTATTCGATTTGTGTTTGCCCATTCGCACTTTCTCCCTCGCTTCTTATTACTATCGCGATGCCATTCAGAGATTGGCATCCGAATCTTCTTCTTCTTCTCGTTTGTTTTTTTTTGGCTTTTTTTTCCTTTAATTTCCCCTGGACTGTTATATTGATCATAATTAGCGTGGCGTCTCTCCATTATCAAGAAAAAAGCACCATAACTTTTTTCTTTTCTATTCAAAAATTTTTTGTCTAAATTTTTGAAATTAGCAAGTCTAGACGGTTCGAATGAGCATGACCATATTTGAAATTATTTGAAATGTCAAAAAACTTTGATAATATTGAAATTTTCGTTTTTTTTTCGAATTTTGAATTTTCACCTTTTTGGCCATAACTCGATCTATTTTTCTCCGTTTCTCAAAGTTTTAGTATTTTTGAAATTAACACATTCAAACGGTTCGAATGAGTATAAACATGGCTATATTCGAAATGTTAAGAATTTTTCGAAAATTCTCGAAATTCTCGAAATTTTCGAAACTTTACATTTTTGACCATAACTTCGTTCATTCTCGTCTGTTTTGCAAAATTTTTGTGTTTTTGAAACCAGCGAATTCAGACGGTCCAAATGAGTATAAGCATGGCTATGTTTGAAAATATTTGAATTTTTCGAAATTTTTTCGAAAAATTGAGCTTTTTCAAAACATAACTTTTTTTTTTGAGCACCCTCGAGCTGAGATATTGCCAAAAACGTAAAGAGGGCGAGAGAGCGCGGCGCCCCTTTCTTTAGAGTACGGTAACTGAATCAGTTTTGGAGACTAGTTGATTTGAATGTTATTTTTGAAATCAGCAAGAAAAAACCGTTTGAATGAGTATAAACATGACCTTATTTGAAAAAATTGAAAACTTGAAAATTTGCGAAAAATTCCATTTTTGGCTTTTTTTCAATTTTTGAGTTTTTTTTTCAAATAGATAATTTCAGAACATGCTTCGGATACATTTTTCACTATTTTTTGCATTATGGACCACTACCGCCTATGCACAGACCATGTCCAAGACAAGTGAGTGGATTTTGAAAAAAATTGTTTTTTGAAATTCAAGCAATTCAAATTCTCGTTAAATCTCTGAAAATTACAGTAATCGATTTCTGCTCTCCAACGGAGCCAAGATCGTGTGGAATTGGTGGAAAATGTGTTGAGCTTTCGCTTGGAAATCGATGCGAGTGCCCAAATGGGTTTATGGGCAGAATGTGTCAAAGTAGGTCAATTTCTTTTGAGGAAAATTTTAGAATCTTGAATAGTTCGAAATATTTGGGACATTTTGATACTAAAATCCAAAAAAACGGATGAAAATTGATAGAGTTATACGGGTTGGAAAATTTATTAAAATAATTTTTTTTTTTCAAATTTTTGGTCTATAACTCATTCTAGTCTTGTCAGATTCAGAAAATAATATGATTTCTGAATCAGAAATTTAAAAATGATCAAAATGGATATAAATATGACCAAATTTGGGGAATTTTTTTGAAAAATTCCAAAAATTTTTTTTTTGAATTTTGGAACATTTTGGTTTTTTGACCATAACTTGGTTCGTTTTCATCCGATTTTTGAAAATGTCTGTTTTTCTGAATAAGCGAGTTTTGTTTAACAAAATGCATCTAAAACTGACACAATTTCGTAATTTAGAATTTTTGAAAAATTCCAAAAAACAATTTTTTTTCCGAAAATTTGGATCATTTTTGTATTTGGACCATAGCTTGTTTCATTTTTATCCGATTTTCAAAATTTCGGCTTTTTTAGAATCAGCGTAATGTCCTTGTTAAAATTAATACAAAAATATTTTTTTCAAAATTTCAGGACCATGCCAAGATGTGTACAAAAGTTGCGCTCGCTGGAAATCCGAGGAGCGGTGCCACTGGACTCGTCCAATTTCCCCATTTTTCGCAGATAACTGTGCTTTATCCTGTGGACAGTGTCGGAATAATGGAAAACGTAAATTATACATTTTTGTCGAGAAAAATTTTGAAAATCGGCTGTAAACGACCCAAGTTATGGCCAAAATATCAAAATATTCCGAAATTTCGAAAAGAGAAGTTTTTTGGACATTTTCAAAAACTTGATATTCTTGGAATTTTATCAGGTTTACATTTGCTTTGACAAGCAAAACTTTCTAATTCTGTAAAACTAAACATTTTGAAAATCGGATGAAGACGAGCCAAGTTATGGTCCAAATACAGAAAGTATCCAAATTTTTGGAAAAAAAAAACAATTTTTTTTGAAAAATTCGAAAATTCAAAAACTCAAGTTAAATCAGTTTTACATAAGTTTTTACAAACAAAATTTACTCATTCTGAAAAACAGAAAATTTCGAAAATCGGATGAAAAAGAGCCAAGTTGTGGTTAAAATACCAAAATAATCCAGAATTTAGAAAAAAAATTTTTTTGGAAAAATTCAAAATTTTCAAAACTCACTCTAAAATACATTTTGTTAAACAAAACTTGCAGATCCTGAAAAACAAAAAATTTCAAAAATGCGATAAAAACGAGCCAAGTTATGGTCGAAATACCATAATGATCTAAATTTTTGAAAAAATTTTTTTTTGAAAATTTCTAAAAACTTCAGAATTTGAAATTTGTTCAGTTTTACACACATTTTAACGAGCAAAACTTGCAGATTCTGAGAAACAAGAATTTTTGAAAATCGGATGAGAAAGAACCAAGTTATGGCCGAAATAGCAAAATATTCCGAAAATTCCAAAAAAAAGTATTATTTGGAATTTTTCAAGAATTCAAAAATTATAAAATCGATAAGTTTTACATTCATTTTGACGATAAAATTTTGCTGATTCTAAAAATCCAAAAATTTTAAAAATCATATGAAAATGAACCAAGTTTTACAAAAAAAATTTTTTTTTGAAAAATTCGAAAACTTCAGAATTTGAAATTTGGTAAGTTTCAAACACACTTTGTAAAAAAAAAACTTGCTAATTCTGAAAAACAAAAAATTTCGAAAATCCGATGAAAAAGAGCCAAGTTATGGTTAAAATACCAAAATATTCCAGAATTTCGAAAAAAAATTTTTTGGAAAAATTAAAAATTTTCGAAATTTCAAGTTTGGCCAGTTTTACATTGATTTTGACACACAATATGAGCATATTCTGGATAACAAAAAATTTCAAAAATCGGATGAAATTGAACCAAGTTATGGTCGAAATACAAAAATATTCCAAATTTTTGAAAAAAAAAACAATTTCCAAATTTTGAAGAACATTGTTCTCCTTAGTTTGGTCATGTTTATAATCATTTCGTTGAACATAACTTGCACATTCTGAAAAACAAAAAATTTCAAAAATCGAATGAAAATGAACCAAGTTATGGTCAAAATACCAAGGTATTCCAGAACTCGCCCTGGCTCTTCCACCAATTCTCGACAACATCGAATGGTTCGTAGGCCGATGGGAGTCAAAAACCAGCGCTCCATACAGGTTTGGATTTCTAGGCCACCCTAAAAGTTCGGCCACGGCCCCTTCGTTTTTTTTTTCAGATTCCCCGAACCAATGTCTGGCCCTTATAAGGAAATTCTGGATGTTCAAATTTCAGAGGTTCCCGCTTTTGATAGACCACCAGTTAATATTTCGTGAGTTAAAAGTTATTTTTTGAAAAATTTTTTTTTTTCAAAACTTTCAAATTTTCAGAATTCGCGCCGAATCGCTGGACGGCACAGATGTGCACGTGGAATTTGGGTTCTTGACCTCGAAACCATTCCATGAGGATACGGGATTTGTGGAATTGAACAAGCCAGATACTGGGGATGATTTGGTGTCAATTGAGCTTGTAACTAATACAGGTGAGAAAGTGTGTTTTTTGAGAAAAATACTTAAAAAAATGATAAAATCGTTGAAAAACTACTTTTTCAAAAAAAGTTCCAAAATTTGTATTTTTGGAATTTTTCCCAAATATATTGGATTTTTGGATTTCCCCCCAAAATTTCTTTTTTTTTTGCATTGAAAAACTTGCAAAAAATTTGGAACCTCATAGGAATCGAACATTTTGACCTCTTTCTCCCAACCCACCTCTCTTACCCACTGCATCACCCGCGCTTCGAGCTACCGCGACGCCCACAAGACGCCTAAGCGCGGGGTGGCGCAGGGGGTAAGAGAGTTGTATATGGAGGAAAAGGGGCAAGAGTTCGATTCTTTTGATGACTAAACTTTTTTTGCAATATCTTTAGCATTGGAAAAATTGACTTTTGGGGAAAATTTTTTGAAATTTTCAAAAAAAAAATTCAGAAAGTTTTTTTTTTCGATTTTTTCAAAAATTTCAAAAAAAAAAATTTCTTTTCCGTCTTGAAAATCTTGGAAAAAAATTTGGACCCCATAGGGATCGAACTTTCAACCTTTCTCCTCAAAACCAGTTCTCTTACCACCTGCGCCACGCGCGCTTAGGCGCCCTCTGGGCGTCGCTGTAGCTCATAGCGCGCGCGTGGCACAGTGGGTAAGAGAACTGGTTTTGAGGAGAAAGGCCGAAAGTTCGATTCCTATGGGGTCCAATTTATTTTATTTTCCTTTTGCAGTCTTTTTTTCTTATTCTAGGCCTCATGCTCATCGAGGAAGGTACTGTACGTGGTACACAAATTCGTTTGGAGACCAAATACAAGAAAGCGATGCCAGGAGTGTTTCGAACGGAAATTGTGAAAGCTAAGAGAATGTTCAATTTGATAAATCCAAATTCACTCGAAGAACGAGTGGTTACTGTAGATTCGAGGGGTGTGACGAGCAAGTGGTTGAAAAGGTAATTTTTTGAAAATACGTCATGTTTATACTCATTTTGAAGCTCTTGACTTCCCAATTTCAAATCGTTTTGAATTTTTGAGTTTGGTAAAAAGTGAAGCGAGTTATGATTGTTTGAAATTTTGGGACTTTTTTTTTTCGAAAAATTTCGAAACACACAAATAATGTCTTGTTTATATTCATTTTGAAGCTCTCATTTAGTTAATTTCAGAACTGTAAGAATTTTTGAATTTGGGTGATAACGGAGGGAGTTATGATTTTTTGAATTTTTGAAAAAAATTTTTAAAAAAAATTTTCAATTTTTTTTTCTATTTTTGATATTTTTGCAGATACAAAAAAGTGTTCAACTACATGACCGACCTAATCCCGACACCAATTGAGAAGAAAAAAAAGTCACTTTAAGGGAAAAATTCCAAAAATTCCAAAAAAAACTGACCAACTCAAAACTGCCGGAGAGACTGATGGTGTTCTTGACGGCGTCCTGAAAACGGGTTTCTCATTGATTTATTAATTTTTTCGAACTTTGTTTCTACAATAAATTTTTCGAATACACTTACCAATTTCACAATTTGATACAAAAATACACTCATGGAGACTGATATGACTTTTTTCGGATGTGTGACTGGTCGGGTGCCTTTTCTGGAAATTTAAAGACATTTGAAGATTGAAAATAGTGTATATTTTAGAAAAACGTAAAATTTGGGAAAATGAAGAACGAAATGCAGCTTTCAAATTCCAAAAATCTTGACTCTAAGCCAAGTTATTTGAAGTTGATGGCCTAGAATTCCAAACTGCTGGCCTAAAAATCCAGTTTTCTAGGTCATGCGCATCTCAAAAGTATTGTAATTCGTTGATTATAAAAACTATGACGTTTGAGAAATGAAATGTACTTTTCAGAGCTCCAAAGTTCCAATTTACAGTCAAGTTATGATCATTTGAAATCGGTGGCCTAGAAATTCAAATATCGGATTTTCTAGGCCACGCATGCTGGCCTTGCGTATATGGAATATGTTAACCTTGTTGAGTGGTACACAATGATTTTTTCAAAACTGAAAAATGTCAATTTTGAACAAAGTTATGACCTTTTGAAGTTTTATGACCTTAATGGCCTAGTTTTGGGTTTCTAGGCCACCAACTTAAAACTGCTGTAACTTGGCTCAAAATTGACATTTTTGAGTTCTGAAAAGTGTATTGAACTTCAATGAACAAACTACTCATGTTCCATATAATTTTGGCCTAGAAATCCAAAAATTGGCTTTCTAGGCCACCAGCTTCGAATGACTGTAACTCGGCGGGAAATAGAGATTTTCAACTTTTAAAAAGACGAGTCGACTGCAAATTAAATTTTACACATTTTGAAATTAAATTCAGACAGATGGCCTAACTTTTCAAAATTTGGTTTTCTAGGCCACCAAATTCAAATGACCGTAACTTGTCTCAGAACCCCTTTTTCACCGTTAAAAAATATTTTTGGCGTCACTTCATCTTACAAAAATGATTTAACCGGATTACTGTAATTGTTCCCCCTGACTGATCCTTTTCCATTAAAGGAACCCTACATACAAAGTTCAGAAAACCGGAACCGATTCAATTTTCGGCAACCTAAAAGCGAACCGAAAAGAGAAGGAAGAAAAAGAAGAACTTTGGAAGTAATCTAATTTTAACGGGAAAGAGAGACCACTTTTTTTATTCGGAATCGAATCTAATGTGGCCTAGAAAACCGAATTCTGTGAACTTTAACCCATGGCCTAGAAAATCAAAATTTGGATTACTAGGCTGCGTTTTTAGTGAAATGTGTAAATTTGAATTTGAAATTGAATAAAATTGAAATGGTGTTTTCCAAATTCGAAAATCTCAATTTTGAGCCGAGTTACACTCACTTGAATCTGGTGGCCTAGAAACTCAAATTTCGGATTTCTAGGCCAAAATTATATGGAACATGTGTAGTTTGTTCATTGAAGTTCAATACACTTTTCAGAACTCAAAAATGTCAATTTTGAGTCAAGTTACAGCAGTTTTAAGTTGGTGGCCTAGAAACCCAAAACTAGGCCAGTATGTTCCAAAAACTTCAATAGGTCATAACTTTGTTCAAAATTGACATTTTTCAATTTTGAAAAAAGTATTAAGAACTACTTAACAAGCCACAGATTTTAGCCAATTTCGAAAAATGCACGTGGTCTAGAAAATTCAAATTTTGGGTTTCTAGACCATCAACTCAAAATGATTATAACTCGGCTTAAAATCAATACTTTTGAGATAATTTTTTTCCCAAAAATGTGAAATTAAACTTGCAACCAAAACGTATTTGTAAAATTAAAAAAAACTGAGTAAGCGCCGAGTTACACTCATTTGAATCTGGTGGCCTAGAAACTCAAATTTTGGATTTCTAGGCCAAAATTATATGGAACATGTGTGACTTGTTGTTTTCAGTTTTTTACAATTTTCAGAACTCAAAAATATCAATTTTGAGCCAAGTTACAGCAATTTTAAGTTGGTGGCCTAGAAACCCAAAACAAGGCCAGTATGTTCCAAAAACTTCAAACTGCCGTAACTTGGTTCAAAATTGACATTTTTCATTTTTGAAAAAAAAAAATTCTATACTACTCAACTAGTCACAAATTTTACAAAAACTAAAAATGTGACAGATACGCGCGGCCTAAAATATTCGAAATTTGGATTTCTAGGCCACCACCCTTCAAATGACCGTAACTTGGCTAGAAATCAGTATTTTTGAGATCTGAAAAATGCATTGTACTTTAAATGTTAAGCTACAAATTTTCAATTAAATGATGGCCTAGATTTCCAAAAATTTGGTTTTCTAGGCCACTCTTTTCTTTTGCAGTTTTCTTCTCTTTTGTCCAGCTGATTGCATAATTGCCTCATTTATTTTACAAGAGTCCCTTATGTAACTTTTTCCTCTTTTCTTTGGAAAACGAGAGAGTGAGAGACGCAGACATCTCAAAGAGAAAAGAAAAGTTTCATAAAAGAAAAACATCAGCGAAAAAAATGTGTCAGTCTTTGGCTGACCTGGAAATCCGGTCCCTTGGGAGGGGTTCAGAAAAAATGACGTCTTCTTTTTTCTATTGTTTTTTGAATTCAAATTTTTCTCCTTTTTTTTTGGTCAATTTGAGACAAAAAGCGGGTCAAGAATGATGTCATAAATGGGTGGCCTCGAAAATCCACAATGTTGGATTTCTAGGCCATCGGGTTGATATTATCATCAAAATGTCTTAAATTAAATTTGCAGTTGAATCATGTTTTTGAAATTCAAAAATGTCAATTTAGCGCCGAGTTACAGTCATTTGAATTATGGCGGCCTAGAAACCCAAATGTTGATTTTCTAGGCCAAAAAAAATTGAACATGTGTGGCTTGTTGTCCACAGTCTATTACAATTTTCTGATCTCAAAAATGTCGATGCTGAGTCAAGTTACAGACGTTTTACGTTGGTGGCCTAGAAAACCAAAACTAGGCCACCATGATCCAAATGGCCATAACTTCGTTCAAAATCGAGATTTTTTAGTTTTGAAAAATGCATTGGGTACTATGATACAAAATACAAATTTGCTACAAAAATTGAAAAATACACATGGCCTAGAAAATTCGAAATTTGGGTTTCTAGGCCACCGGTTTCTAATAGCTATAACTTGGCTCAAACCCGATATTTTTGAGACCTGAAAAGTGCATTTTGTTTTAAAATGTTCATTTTTTTTAAATTTAAAAAATCACAAATTATCATACACAGATAGCCTAGAAAAACTAGATTTCTAGGCCAGGAATTTGGATTTCTAGGCCACCACCTTCAAATCGCCGTAACTTGGCTCAAAATCAATATTTTTAAAAAATTCGAAATGGAAAACGTTTCCCATGCCTTTTCCTACGTTTTAAAACTACTAGCACAAAACCAACCTATAATATCTCAACAAATCGTCATGTAATCGATAGGTGACAGGAATATCCGCTCGCCGGAGCGTCTTGAAATTTTCGGGTAACAAATAATCGTTCCGTCCGAATGCTCTTTTGAGCCGCTCCATCGGAAGAAGTTCTTCTTCGGTTTTCTCTTCTTCGATTTTGACGGACTCTGAAGGCTTGGGTCCTCTAGAAGACGTTGGGACAATAGGATCTTCTGGTTGTTCTGGATACGGAGTACGGTGGTTTTGTGAAGGTGTGGATTGGTGGTGATAAGGGGACAAGTCATCTGGAAATAAAGTTTGACTTAGAAATTGAAGTTTAATTCAATTAAAAATTTTTAAAAACCCCAATTTTGAACGTAATTATAGCAATTTCAACTTTGATGGCCTAGAAATCCAATTTTTGGAATTCTAGTTTACAGATTCTAGGCCAAGCTATACTTCGAAAAGTGTAGTATTTTATCAGAATTCCGATGCATTTTTCTAAACTTAAATACATCCATTTTGAAGCCAGTTACAGCGTTTTGGAGCGCGTGGCCTAGAAACCCAAATTTCAATATTTCTAGGCCACACATACTGGTCATGTGTATATTGAAAATGTGTGCCTTGTTGAATAGTATAAAATACTTTTATCAAAACTAAAAAATGTCAATTTGGAACCAAGTTAGGACTATTTGAAGTTTTTGGATCTTGCTGGCCGAGTTTTGGGTTTCTAGGCCACCAACTTAAAATTGCTGTAACTTGACTTAAAATTGACATTTTTGAGTTTTGAAAAGTGTAATAAACTTTGTAAAACAAGCCACACCTGTTTCATTTATTAATGGCATAGAAATCCAAAAATTGGCTTTCTAGGCCACCAACTTCAATGACTGTAACTCGGCGGGGAACTGAGTTTTTTAAATTTTAAAAAGATGAGTCGACTGCAAATTCAATTTTACACATTTTGACATAATATTCAACTAGATGGCCTAACTTTTCAAAATTTGGTTTTCTAGGCCACCAACTTAAAATTGCTGTGACTTGGTTAAAAATTGACATTTTTGAGTTCTGAAAAGTGCAATCGGTTGCTAACATCAAAATGAGTACTATTTGAAGTTTCTGGCCTAAAAATCCAATTTTTGGTTTTCTAGGCCACCACTTTCAATTGCTCATAACTTGGCTGAAAATGAAATTTTTTTCGAGATTTGGAAAAAAGCACCATGGCCTAGAAATTCTTGGTTTTCCAATCCACCACACAAACCTTCTTCCACCTGATGACTCTGTCGTCGTCTAAGCTCATTCTGAAGTGTTGTTGAAGACGTCGAACTCGTCAAAAAGATAAAAATCGATAATCGAAGGAATAGGAAGAGGGATGAGTGTGGATTCAGTCGGACACACGAATATCGCCGTTTCTTCATCTCCACATAGTTGGAGCAATTTGTGGAAGGTTCTGGAAATTTTATATTTTTTGAATATTTAAAGGGGGATAACTCGAGAAATATTTAAGCAAAGAAAATGGTTCAAAGATTCAGAATCAGCATGAAAAACGCAATAAAATGAGTATAAACAAGCCATACTTTGAGAATTTTCGATTTTTGGAGTTCTTCTCCTTCTCCAGATTTTGCAGAAAATTAGACATAACTTGGTCAGTTTTGGTTCACAATTGATAAAATGTTTTGGATCAGAATTTTCATTTTAAGAGAGTTAAAATGAGTATAAATTTGTTCATGTTCGAAAAATTTGAAAATTTGAGTTCTTCTTCTTTTCCAGATTTTAGAAAAAACTAGGCATAACCTGGCTAGTTTTTGTTCGAAATTGATATTTTTGCTGGATCTGAATGCCCATAAAATTTGGGTCAAAATGAGTATAAATTTGGTCATGTTTGAGAAATTCGAAAATTTCGATTCCTTCTTCTTTTCCAAATTTTGGACAGAATACGTCATAACTTGGGCCGTTTTGATTCAAACTTGATAAATTTTCTTGGATCGGAATTTTCATTTTAAGAGGGTCAAAATGAATATAAATTTGTCCATGTTTAAAAATTTGAAAATTTAAGTTCATCGTCTTCTCCAGATTTTAGAGAAAATTGGGCATAACTTGGTCAGTTTTCGTTTAAAATTGATAAAACTTTTTGGGTCGGAATCTCCATTTTAAGAGGGTCAAAATGAATATAAATTTGCCCATGTTTAAAAATTTGAAAATTTGAGTTCTTCTTCTTTTCCAGATTTTAGAGAAAATTGGGCATAACTTGGTTAGTTTTTGTTTAAAATTGATAAAACTTTTTGGGTCGAAATATCCATTTTATGAGGGACAAAATAAATATAAATTTGTCCATGTTTGAAAATTTTTAATTTTAGTTCTTCTCCTTCTCCAGATTTTAGAGAAAATTGGGCATAACTTGGCCATTTTTGGTTGAAAATGGATAAAACTTTTTGCATCGAAATCTCCATTTTATGACCGTCAAAATGAGTATAAATTTGGAAATCTTTGAAAATTTTCAGATTTCAGAAGACGTCAATAATTTTTTTGTCTGAAAATTTTTTTTTTGGAAAAGTTGATTTCAGGTTTTGAATCAATCAGAAAAAGATCGATTTTATTTTCAAAAGCGGTATTTCGAAATTCTAGAAGACGTTCTCCAAAAATTCCAAAATCCCAGTAAAATAAGAAGAAGAAATAGGAAGACGTTGGTGGGGGCCTTCTTCAGTAGGTATTCCGGATGTTCCGGTGGTACGTATTATGTACACATCGAATACTAGATGACTTCGGAAGACATTTTGAAGAAGTCACCACCGCCAAAAAATAAAGAAAAAGAAGGAGAGGACGGGATTTTAGAAATAGAGGAGATTCGGAAATGTACAACAAAGGGGGCTTGGGGAATAAGGGATCAGGTTGAAGTCATCATCTACCTATTTGTTCACTCGGCCTAGAAAAAATCCAAAAAATTTTGGATTTCGAGGCCACGCAGCTCAAAAACAAGCACGTTATGCATTAATGATAGAAAGGTGGCCTAGAAAATCCAATTTTTGGATTTCTAGGTCAGCATATATCCTAGCAAATTTTCAAAAATAAATTTTGTTTGAAATTTCAAGTTTAATGCCCTTTAAAAAAATTGAAAATTGAAATTTTAAACCTAGTTACAGCAATTTCAACTTTGGTGGCCTAGAAATCCAATTTTTGGAATTCTAGGCTAAGGATTCTAAGCCAAGTTATATTTCAAAATGTGGAGTATTCTACACACAAGTCTACCCATATTTGGAAATATTGTGAATTGTTATATTATAAAAATTATAAAGTTTGTAAAATGAAATGCAATTTTCTGAACCTAAATGTCTCAATTTTGAGCCAAGTTACGGCGATTTGAAGGTGGTAGCCTAGAAATCCAAATTCCTGGCCTAGAAATCTAGTTTTTCTAGGCTATCTATGTATGATAATTTGTGATTTTTTAAATTTAAAAAATTATGAACATTTTAAAACAAAATGCACTTTTCAGGTCTCAAAAATATCGGGTTTGAGCCAAGTTATAGCTATTTGAAACCGGTGGCCTAGAAACCCAAATTTTGAAATTTCTAGGTTACGCATACTAGCCATGCGTGTATAGAAAATATGTGGCTTGTTTAGTACTATATAATAGTTTTTTCAAAACCAAAAAATGCCAATTTGGGACCAAGTTACGGCAGTTTGAAGTTTTTGGAACATACTGGCCTAGTTTTGGTTTTCCAGGCCACAATCTTAAAATTGCTGTAACTCGGCTGAAAATTGATATCTTTGAGTTCTGAAAAATGCAATGGGTAGCTGACATCAAAACAAATACTACATGAAGTTTGTGGCCTAGAAATCCAAAACGTTGGATTTCTAGGCCACCAGATTCACATGGCTGTAACTCGGCTCAGAATAGACACTTTCGAGTTTTAAAAACATGGTTGAACTGGAAATTTAATTTCACACATCTTGTTTGAAGTTTTTGGAACATATATGGCCTAGTTTTGGTTTTCCAGGCCACAATCTTAAAATTGCTATAACTCGGCTGAAAATTGACATTTTCGAATTTTGAAAACTGAAAAATGTGGCCTAAAACCCCATTTTTTTAGGCCACCACTTTTTATAAATTTTTGTTGTTTGGGACACAAGGAAAAATTCCAAAAAACAAAAAAAAGTGTGTACACATCCAAATTCCCCTTTTTCTTTCCTTCTTATGTCTTTTTTTTGGTGTTTTAAAAAAGAACATAACAGGACCCATATATAAGACATTCCTAAATCCCCCGGACCGCCCGTTCAAAACCCGTCTTTTTGGAAGAAAAAGAAGAAAAGTTTTTTTTTTTTTGAATTTTCTGGAAAATACACTTTTTGACACCCCGGGAGAGACAATCAATCAAAAAAGGCGGGAAAAAAAGTTTTTGGAGCGTCTTCTAGAGAAGAAAAAGAAGAAGAAGAAGAGAGGGTCTTCTGGATTTCCATGTCCCAGAATTTAGGAGAAAAAAAAGAAGAAGAAGAAGAAGGGTAAAACGGGGCATCTCGGTGGCAATTGGCGCAATTTGCATAGCAATCGCTAAGGATTTTTAGAGGGAAACAAGGGGAGGAAGAAGAAGAAGGGGGTCCCATGTACTGAATAGGAAACAAGGATTAGAAGGGGAAAAGGGGGCGGAGCTTGTATGGAAAAGGGTGAAATGAGGTCAAGGGAAGAAGATATGAAACCTAGGAAGGCTTTTGGCCAGAATCTGAGGGAAAAGAAGAAAAAGAAGAACTTTCAATTTGGGTCATTTTGGTCCAATACCCAAATCTCTAGATTTAAAACTGGCCAAGTTATGGAACTTTGAAATCAGGATTTAAAGAGGAAAAATACTTAATTTTAAAAAAAAGAAGAATACCGAGTTTGGGTGATTTTGGTCTATAAACCAAGTTTCTAGCGTTAAAACAAGCCAAGTTATGAAAAGTTGAAATTTGAATCTGGAGAAGAAAAAAAAAGGAAAATTTTAAAAAAAGAAGAATTTTGAATTTGGGTCATTTTGGTCTATAAACCAAGTTTCTAGCTTAAAAACAAGCCAAGTTATGAATCTTTGAAAAATGGAATCTGGAGAAGAAGAAGAAAATCAGAAAAATCGTAAAAATAAGGAGAAGAAGAAGAAGAAGAAGAAGAAGAAGAAGAAGTCTTGAACGATTCCAGAAAATGAGACAATCAGAAGTTTTTCATCTGACTCCACTAATAGAATACAAAAAAATCCGGAAATTGGAGTTGCCTTCTTCTTCTCCGTATTCCATTTTACTAGTTCTTCTTCTTCTTCTTCTTTCTCCTCATCATCTCATTGTTTGTGTTTGGAGAAGTTTGTGTGTTCCTTCTTCTTCTTCTTTTTCAAAAAGTAGAAGATGTTGAAAAAGAAGAAGAAGCTGTGATTACTTTTGAGTCACTCAGTAAAATGAAAAGAGGTAGAGAGACGCAGACAGTGTTTTTTGTAGTTTTGAAAAAATATCGATGATGAATGGAAACGACTTTGGAACATAGGAGAAGAAGAAGAAGAAGAAGGTTCTAAAAAATCAAAATTACCAAAAATTCAAAATCTTTCAAAGATAGTCAAGTTTATATTTGTTTTAACCAAAATTTTATGGGCATTCTAATCCAAAAAAAGATAATTAATTTTGAGCACAAACGAACAAAGTTATGATCAATTTTCTGCAAAATCTTGGGAAGAAGAAGAACTCAAAATTGAAAAATTTTCAAAGATGGGAAATGTTGTATTCATTCTGACCCAAATTTAATGGAGATAATGATCCAAAAAGAATTTTCGAAGTTTGGACAAATCCACAAAAGTTATGCTCAATTTGCTGCAAAATCGGGAGAAGGAGAAGAACCCAAAATTTAATATTTTTAAAAGATGGTTAATTTTATATTCATTTCAATTTTTTATATTCATTTCAAAAGAATTTTCAAGTTTGAACAAAAACCACCAGAGTTATGATCACTTTTTTGTAAAATCTGGAGAAGAAGAAGATATCGAATTTCTCAAGTTTTTCAAACATGACTAAATTTGAACTTATTCTAATTCAAATATAATGGACTGTCTATACCAAAACATTTCATTAGTTTTGAACAAAAACTAACAAAGTTACGCCTAATTTTCTGTGAAAACTGGAGAAGGAGAAGAACTCAAAATTTAACATTTTTCAAACATGGCTAAATTTATATTCATTTTGACCCACATTTTATGGGCAGTCTGGTCCAGTAAAAATAATAAATTTTCGACCAAAACCTCCAAAGTTATGCCTAGTTTTCTATAAAATCTGGAGAAGAAGAAGAACTCCATAAATCGAAATTTCCAGAACTATAGCTTGTTTATACTCATTTTGATCGTCTGAACGAGATGATGTCGAAAATGTAAAAAAACCAAAAATATGGACTTCAACGAAAAAGTTATGACCAGAAAAAGAACAAAATTAAAAAAAAAAAATTTTCAGAATTTTTTTTAACTTTCCAAATTTTTTCAACTTTTAACCTTTTTCTACATAAAAAATGACATTTTCGCAGAAAAATATTTTTTCCACCTCTATGAAGCTCCCCCTATATAATATTCTGACCCATCCCCTCTTTCCTATATTGTCAATTCAATTCTATTCCACTCTTTTGACTCTTGAGAGAGGAAGAAGGGCAGGTCATTGAAAACTTTTTCAAGACGATTTATGAGACCTCTTTTTCAAGTAGGGCAGGGTTTTCGATCAGATTGGAGTGACGTTTCGAAGATTGGACCCTTTAGATAGGTCAGGCGGCGAAAATAAGGGCACTGGGTACGTTAGAAAAAAAAGCAAAAAAAGATTTAGGGGGCGAGGAGTCGAACCATGGTGCTGAGATTGTTAGTCGGTGTTACTAGCCACTAGGCTATGGTGGCGCAGGTGGAGAGGCGCCACATAGGGAGTCATGGCGACCACCTCTCAAAACGCGGCGGCCGCCATATTGTATATGGAAATTGGCGCTTTGATGAGTGTGGCGTCCGTGGCGCAACGCTTGCGCTTTTGCTTAAGGTCCAAAAGGTCAGGGGTTCGATCCCACCAGAGACCAAACATCTTTTTTCTTTTTTACAAAGCAAGTGAACAGTGTTTAAAATATTTCTAGAGTAGTATTTTTCCCATTTTCGATAATGTTGGCTGGCTTTTAGGGCACTTTTAACAGCTAAATAGATTCCAAAGTCTTGCAAAACCAAGAAGCATAAATATAAAAAGTCACAAAAGTCCCAAAAACAAACATATAACATACATATATACTCAAAACGCATAGGGAGGAGGGAAACGGGTTTTGGGAAATTTAGTGGGCGTGGCCTAAATCCTTCGCTCTCTCTAAAACCACATATCCCAGAGAATTCAGAGTCGAAGACACTGACCCTTTCTTTTTAAAAGAAGAAGAAGAAGAAGAAACAAGAGGACCCAAATTCCTTTGGGAAGGAACAAGAACAAGAACAAGAAGACTCTTCTACCAAGGGGAAGAAAAAGACACGTCGGAAGAAGAAGAAGGAAGATGTTGGCAGATGATGGAAGAGTGTCGAACCGCGCGAAGAAGAGATCACATATCCCAGAAGAGCCCCAACTTTGTCGACACTTTTTCAAGCCTTGGTTTTGACCTATTTTTGACCCGAGGAGTTGGGAAAAACTTGGTAAAATAGTGTTAAAGTTGTTAATATATGCTTAGAACCCCTTTAAATAGCTTGAAACAGCTTCACGGAAAAAAATAACGAGATTGGAGCCCCCGGGGGTCGAAACCCGGACCTTGTGGACGATGGCCAAAAGCGTTAACCAATGCGCCAACGCACACAAGGAAAAGAGGGCAACAAGGTGTATAAGAAGTGGCGGCCGCACGCCACCTGAGAGAGGCGCGACAGGCGCGATGGTGAGCCAAGACACCTGTGGTGTAATGGATTAGAGGTTTGAGTTTGAATCTGAGGGTTGTTGGTTCGATTTTTTTTGGGTGAAAACTCTTTTGCTTTTTGTGCTGAGCAAAGATTTGTTGTTTTTCATGCACGAAATCAACGATTATGCCCATTTCTAATTTCTGATCTTCTGATTTTGCATTTTGCGATTCTACAAAAACTACTAAAACAATTTTTTCTCTTAAAAAATCTCAGTGCCATCGTAAAACCAAAGGAAAAAAAGAATAAGAACGAAAACTTTTTCTTTTTCTTCCTTTTAAAAGATGCAAAAAATATATAAAAAATACAGAGATAGAGAAGCACAAGAGGAAGGTTTATGAGGGCCACATTGGTCTCCAGGGATCTATAACGAATGTCAGGAATTTTTGGGGTGGAAAAATTCCACGTCATATGAGGAGAGTCGAAGGTGGAGGGACGGAAGATGAATTATTTGTGGGAAGGAGAGGGCAAAAAAATCTAAATTGTGTAAAGTGGAAAAAAAATTAATAGCCTTTTTAAAATATAATGATAACTTATAATTTGAAATGAAATCTAGAAAGTTATGGTACATAAACTTTTTTAGTTTCAAAAACTAGATTTTCTAGATTTTCATCTGAAATTTCGTCTTCTGAGTTTGCCTAATTTTTAAAATAACTTCTTCAATTTTCACCTATTTCCAGCTATTCCTAGATTTCCTACGGATTTTCGAAATATTTCCTATAATCTTCCCGGGGAAGACTTCCCCTTCTATTACACACACTCCCCTTTTCCCTCTCTTTCTCTCGCTCCCTCTCTCCGCTCCTAACACCTCCCCCACTGTTATACGAGTCGTCGCCCCTCTTCTCTCGTGGCATCGGTGGTTCAGTGGTAGAATGCTCGCCTGCCACGCGGGCGGCCCGGGTTCGATTCCCGGTCGATGCAATTCTTTTTTGATTTTCTTAATTGTTAGCTTAAACTCACTCTAGTTCCAGATACAAGCTCGAAATCCATCAGCTCATTGAAGAATCTATTGAACTTCGATTTTTTGAGCACCAAACACTCCTAATGAATAGGACCTCGGCCACATGTCCACATAGTCGGCTCTTTGTCGAATAAACTTAGTTTTCTCAATGTAGTTGTAACGGACATAGCTTGGAACATCAATTTGTCTTAGGTATTGGGAGGTGTTGGAGGGACGGAAGATGAATTATTTGTGGGAAGGAGAGGGTAAAAAAAATCTAAATTGTGTAAAGTGGACAAAAAATGTGTTGGGAGTATCAAAAAACTAACAAAAACAAAAGCGAAAAAAGAAAGAACTAAAAAACCGCAGAGAGGGATCGAACCTCTGACCTTCTGGATGAAGTGCAAAAGCAAAGCCACTAGGCTACGCTGCCCACGAAGGGATAAGGAGCGGAGTGCGTACAAGACACCACCGGCCACCGCGCCTGAGAGACGGCGGCAGCCGCCATGGCGATGAGGGTGGCGCGACCAATGATGCACCTGTGGTGTAGTGGATAAGAGTGAGGACTTTGGATCTGAGGGTTGTTGGTTCGATTCTTCTCGGGGCCAATATTTTTTTGGTTATTTTTGTAGTAGGGTAAACATATATTAAAGCTATGAAAATTAATTTAAAATGAAAATTCGAAAATGTTGGGCTCAAAAACACTTTCTATTTTTTTTTCTTTTTGCCCGATTTGTGTGAAAACCCTAATGAGGCCAATGCATAGGATACATGGACCCACGAAAAAGGCACATACAAATGCATAAGCGAAAGACACCCATAATATGGGGTCCCCCTTGTTTCTTTTACCCTCCTAACTGACCACTCTAGACTAGACACATAGAAGGATAAGAAGAAAGACGAAAACAACAAGAAAAAAGAGATTTTTCGAGAAAAGAAAGAAATTTTGAATAATTTTATGAGCCGGACAGCCGAGCTCTAGTGACTCTAGTAGCTTTTAGTAGTCATGGATTCTCGAGTTTTTGATGGGTATTCCCGGGATTTTTAGGAGATAAAAATAAAAAGTTTTCGGAAATTTCGAAAAAAATTTTGGAGAGAAAAGTTTGGAGTTTGAGCTGAAAACGTTATTTTTGGGACTTTGGAAGACTCAAAAATGGCTTAGAACGCTTTTAAACAATCATAAACAAATTTAAAAAGAAAAATACACCAAGACGAATTGAACCTATGACCTTCTTAACGACGAGCAAACTGCTAACCACTACACCACGGCGCACCCATCATAAATGGATGCAAAGAGCGTATAGGTGGTGGCGCCCACTGCCACTTGAAGGTGGCGCCACCTTCCTATACGCACTCTGCCTCCCTGTGTGTCGACTGTGGTGAAGTTGCTAACGCTTTTGCCCGCCGTGCGAGAGGTCCGGGGTTCAATATCGTTTTTTCAAGTCTTTCAATGTGAAAAAGATTTATTATGTCGGGAAATTTTAAAAAAAAACAAAAAATAGGTTAAAAAATATGTTACACGTCATCAGAAGAGGAAGATTGGTGTGTGAAAGAGACAAATAGACAAAAACCGGTGGGGGAAAAAATTAGAAAGATTTGGAAATCATGGAATCTTGATTTTGGCGGGAAACAGGAAAAAAGGATAAATAAGAAAAATCCAGAAAAATTGGAAAATTAATCACATAGAAGTTTCAATGACTGGTTTTTTGGATTTTAGAGATCCTCCTGTTCGAGGCGGAGCGTGTAGTTCAACGAAGTGATTTAAAGATGATTGAGATTGATGAAGCGGTGGTGGTGGAGGTCTGAAATTTGCAAACTAAAAAGTTTTTTTTTGAATATTTTGAAAAAATAAAAACATCAAAAGTTTCAAAATTATATCATGTTTATAGTCATTTGAACCCCTCTAAACTTGTTGATTCCAAAAATATAACTTTTATTGAAATTGAACAACTTTGAGCCAAGTTACAGAGCAAAACGTGAGGCAAGACGCAGAGAAACGAGACACGCTAGCTGTCGGCGCGCTTTCTTCTGCGTACTGTAACTCGGTCAGTTGTAGAGACTGAATGATAAAAATGTTATTTTTGAAATTACCAAGTCAAGACGGTTTGAATGAGTATAAACATGACCAGTTTTTGAGAATTTTGAAATTTTGAAAAACATTTTTCTACCTTGGCGGATCAGTTGGCAATGGTTGAAAGTTATTGGTCATGTTCAAAAACTGATTTGATCGTCTTATGGCTGGAATCGGACTTCTTGGAGGCCGTGGAGACCTTCTATGGTTAACTACAGTACTTTGAATAGTACTTTCCGAGGCTTCAGAAGTATAATTTGATGATATATCAGTTGCAGTTGATGTTCGTTCTGAATCCGATGGACATGTACTACAAGACGTCACATCAGACGTCGTATCGCTTCTCATCTGGTGTGCGCGCATTTTTACAGTAGTCCCGGTTACTGTAGAACTACTGTAGGGTACGGTAGTTGTGGTTGGATTGGTGATCTCCGAGTAGCCATTTGGATTGGTGGAGACGTGACGGTTTTGGCGTCTGAAAAATGGTTTTTTGGTTTTGAATTTGGAAAAAAGCTAGTTTTTGATAGTTGAAAATATGTTTATGATACTACAAACAGAAGCAAAAAGGATTTTGCTCTAAAAAGAATCGAACCAACAACCCTCAGACCCAAACTCGAAGCTTTTATCCATTACACCACTCCGCCATCGCACCGAATTGACGGCCGCGCGCCTCCCTCTCAGGTGCCGCGCGGCCGCCGTTTCCTATACGACTTGTCTCCTTTTCTCTTTAGTGTGTGCCTTGGCGCAATAGCTAACGCTTTTGCCCGTCATCCAAGAGGTCACAGGTTCGATCTCCGGTGGGCCCAAACTCTTTTTATTTTTTCGAGGACCTATTTTAAGATTGCCTAAACGTTTTTAAGCAAGTTTTGGGTCGAAAAAAGTCAAAAATACCTCGACTGGAACGTTCCAGATACTGTAGTCCCTGTTGTTGGACCACCATGTGGGGTGTAGGCGGCGTATGAATAAGTGTGGTCTGATGTGGCGGTGCTCAAAGTGTCAGTTGGGGAACGAGCCACTTGGCGGGGCGGTTGACGACCGGCGCGCCTGGAATATATATTTTTAGACTTTTTTGGAAATTTTCGAAAAAATTACCAATCATATGCACTGATCGTTGATCCGCCATCCAAACTAGCATGTGCTGAGGTGTGAGTGTGTTCGGAGCCAGATTTCATTTTTCGTTTTTGGTATTCTTGCTCGCGCCTGGAAATGAATTTTTGAATTTTTGAATTTTTGAATTTTGGAATTTTTGAATTTTTGAATTTTTGAATTTTTGAATTTTTGATTTTTCGAATTTTTGAATTTTTGAATTTTTGAATTTTTGAATTTTTGATTTTTTGATTTTTTGAATTTTTGAATATTTGAATTTTTGAATTTTTGAATTTTTGAATTTTTGAATTTTTTGAATTTTTGAATTTCTGAATTTTTGAATTTTTGAATTTTTGAATTTCTGAATTTTTGAATTTTTGAATTTTTGTTTTTTTGAATTTTTGAATTTTTGAATTTTTGATTTTTTGAATTTTTGAATTTTTGAATTTTTGTTTTTTTGAATTTTTGTTTTTTTGAATTTTTGAATTTTTGAATTTTTGAATTTTTGAATTTTTGAATTTTCGAATTTTTGAATTTTTGAATTTTCGGAATTTCAGAAAAATTCTGAGATTTTTCAGATAAATTAGAATTTTCTGGAATTTTTTTCCCAAAAACTAGTAATTTCAATATTCTGAAATTTCTACATCTTTGATTTACCAAAGTTTTTATTTTCAAAATTTCTTGAAATTTTCGAATTTTTCTGAAATGTTTTTTCCATACTTGCGACCGGGCCTTCGACGGACCCTTCGCGGGCCCTGCCATAGTTTTTTTCAGAAACAATATTTTCAGACCAACTAAATTGGATATGATAGAACTCGACAAGTACTACAAAATGATACTATTTGGAATACTGTATCTTGTCTATGAACAAAGTTACAGGTCATGAAGTGTCAACTTGCCGCGTCGGCCCGGCCCGGGTCGGGTCTTAGTTTTTTGCCTGTAACTTTGTTCATGTACAAGACATAATTATTTAAATTATATCATTTTGTAGCACTTGTCGAGTTCTATCATATCTGATTTAGTTGATGTCAAAATTTTGATTCTAAAAGAAACTATGACAGAAACTGCGAAGGCCCGGCAAGGGCCCGGTCGCAAGTATGGTTTTTTTCAAACTTCTTCAAGTTTCTAAAAACTCACTTTTGCAATTTGAAACTCGCTCTAACGATATTCTTTCTCTCACTGAGTTCCTCACTTCGTTCCCTCGACTTCACACACCAACAAACGACCAAAAACAGTAAAAGTGCCAAAATAACCGAGGCAATGACCAGAGGAATAATAATTCCAGGTCTCCAGAGAATCGGTTCCGAATAAGGATGTGTCCCCTTTTCACAGACAAACGGAAGCAATAAATTACAATTAACACTTCCAATTTTCCGACTTCTCGCACTTAACCATCCACACTGGGTATTTGGAATTCCAACTGAAGAGATCCATAAATGTATATCATCTTCCACTCCATAAGCCTTTAATCTCTCTTGATCCGTTATATAATCAATCGAAAATTTCTCTATCCTCTTCGCCAGCTCGGTTTGTAGCACATCATCGATTCTCAGGTACGGTACAAATGCACCTAGCTCTTTACAGTACTCCACAGCTTTTGTGTAGGTCACTGCAGCTGGAACGAAGAGGAAGCAGGACTTGAATTCTTCGTGGCCAGCCTGCAAAAATTTTTTAATTGGGAATTAATTATAAATTGAGCTTTTTGAGCATAGAAAATGGAAGCTTCAAAGTATTTGAAAATTTCAAAAGTTTTCAAATTATGCCATGTTTCTACTTATTCAAACCACCAAAACTTGCTGATTCTAAAAATCTAACTTTCACATAGATTGGAGAATTTTAAGTCAAGTTACAGTAGAAAAACAAAAATCTTGTTACATTTTGAAAAATCGAAAAAATCAAAATTACGAAAAATATGTCATGTTTATACTCATTTCGAAGCTCTTAACTTGCTAATTATGATGCTGTTTAAATTTTTGAATTTGGTAGAAAAAGAAGCAAGTTATGAAAATTTCAAAAAACGAACTTTCTGAAATTTTTTTTTCGAAAATTTCAAAATGTTTTCAAAGTATGCCATCTTTATACTAATTCGAACCGTCTTATCTTGCTGATTTCAAAAATCTATTTTTCATCAAAATTAGACAACTTTGAGCCGAGTTTCAGGGCAAAATGTAAAGCGAGAGTGAGAGAGCGCAGAGTGTCTCGCTTCTCTGCGTCTCTCCTCTTGCACATTTAGAACATTTAGAACTGTAACTCTGCTCAAGAGGAATCAAATTCGATGAAATTTGAACCAATAAGCTGGAAAAGTCCTGACGGTTCGAAAAAGTATAAATGTGACACAATATTTTTCAAATAGATTTATCCCCCTATTTTCGGCCCTTTTGACTTAAAATTTTGCGAAAACAGGTTTAAAATTTATTAGCAGAGACTTAGACTAGCTTTAAACAGCTCCACGAAAAAATAAAAAAAGGTTTGGCACCACTTGGGTTCGAACCTGTGACCTCTTGGACGAAAGACAAAAGGTTTATCCACTACGCCATCACGCACACTAGGAAAAAAGAGGAAATGGCGGCCACGCGCCACTGAAGAATAAGGCGATGGCGCCGACTCGCGGCTCCATCGCATCGCATGGTGGCGCCTGTGGTGTAGTGGATAAGAGGTTTGAGTTTGGATCTGAGGGTTGTTGGTTCGATTCTTTTTGGGCCAAATTTCTTTTGCTTTTTCGCTGAGCTCTGTTTTGCTTTTTTCAGGGCACAGAATCAGCTATTTTATTCTAACACGTCATAACTCGGTCAGTTTTCATCCGATTCAGTTGGAATAAACTATTTTAAAGTCTGCAAATCAAGGTCTACTCACCTGAAACCATCCAGCCGGACAATCTCCCTCCACCAAACTTGTATTCGACTCCATCACAGGTGAATATTGAACTTTCACCAGCTCCGGATAATCCTCTGCGTCTCGAATCTTTCCAGCAGCCACACCAATCGTTCCCGGATATCCCCAATAATTATCTCTCGCATCGATTGACCCAATTTCATATTGTGATTGTCTCCCAGTTGTCAATTCGTAGTCATTTAAAGGATCATTGAATGTGTTATACTTGAAAATCTCCTGAGAGCTTCCAGCGATAATCGTCGATCGATAACGAGTCGTTTCGTTGTCCACATGCGTCCACCAGTCGAAAGAAACACCTTGTTGAGTGAGGACCTGCAAGAAATCAAGTTGAAAATTTTATTTTCAAAAACTTGCTTTGGATTTTTTAATAGATTCTTCATTGAAATTATAGCCCTCCTACTGCTCGTTCCCCTCTATTGCCCACTGCGCCGCACTGAGAGACGCAGACAACGAGAGTGCCTCGCTTCTCTGCGCCTCTTCTCTCGCCACACATTTCTGCCTATAACTCTGCTCTAAGTTGATCAAATTTAACAAAAATTACACCATTCAACTAGAAATCGTTAGGTGGTTCAAATGAATATAGATGTGTCATAGTTTTAAAATTTTTGGTTTTTTTAGAAAAATTCAGAAAACTATGACTATTTATACTCAAAAAATGTCCCAAAACTTGCTGATTGTGAAAAACTAGTTTTCATAAAATTTGGTTGATTTCGAGCAGAGTTATGGGCGAAAATGTAAAATGAGAGACGCAGACATCGGAGTGTTTTCTGCGTCTCTCAAAGGCGCCGGCTCGCGCAGCCCGCGTGGCGCAGTGGTTAAGATGAATAGACATGGAGCGGGAGGTCAAAAGTTCGATTCCTTCCAGTGCCAATGTTTTTTGAAAGTTTTTTGGATGGCGCCAAAATAAATGAAAATTCAAAAAAACAATTTTTTTTTTCAAAGTTTTCTCTCACCTGTCTTTTATCTCTCGTATCTCTTCTGGGTCGATTCAAAAACTCGTTATTCTCTCTCAACGGTTGATATCCATACTTTTCAATGTACTGTTGACCGTGTCCCAGTGCCAAATTGTCATAAAAATGATTATAGAAGAATAGGTTCTTGTCAGCCGAGATTCTCGAGTTTGCATGGATGTCCAAAGTGTGTAGACCCGTATTTGAGTACAATGTATTCCTCGTCATGTTGATGGAAACGTCATGGGCAACTACCGTATCATGATAGAGAGCGTAGTTATGACTGATAACGTTGTTCAGGAGGGATATCTGGAAATTGATAAGATTTTAAGATTGATAATTAAAGTATTTGGATTTAGCAAGTCAAGACAGTCAAAATGAGTATAAACATGACCTAGTTACGATTATTTTCAGGAAAAAAATTTTGAAAAAGGAACGTTTCTTTGAAAATTTTGAAAATCATTTTTTTTAAATATCAATCCAATTTTTATGAAATTGACATTTTTGAAATCGTCATACTGTGACGGTTCAAATGAGCTTAAACACGACTAAGCTCCGCCCACTTTGAGTATTGAGGCTAGAGACGCAGTGGGTCTCGCTTCTNTGCGCTCTCGCCGACACGTTTTAAGGTGTAACTTGGCTTGAGATAGCTCAATTCTGGTTTTGAGAACGCGGTAAGAAAATTTGAGAAATTTCACACATTTTGAGCTAAAAATCATAGAAAACTAGTCAAAATGAAGAATTTTATGAATTTTTGAAAAATTTTGAAATTTTTAAAACATTTCAAATATCGTCATGTTTAGGCTCATTTAGACTGGAACGCCGTGCTGATTTAAAAAATTTTGTTTTCAAAAACATTGAATAGAAAATGAGTTATGAGCCAAAATGTGGGAAGAGAGACGCAGAGAAGCGAGACACTCTCGGTGTCTGCGCTCTCTCACTATCGCGTCACGTTTTCCTCTGTAACTTGGCTCAAAATTGTTCAATTTTTATGAAAATTATATTTTTCAATTTGGCAGGATTCGAATGAGTATAAAAATGGCCACTTTTTGAAAATGTTGATTTTTTTGAAATTTTGAAATTTTTCAACAAATCCCAAATATGACCATGTTTAGGCTATTTTAACCGGCTTGACTTGTTCATTTTGAATATACAATTTTCCGATTTCTCTGCCTCTGTCTAACTCACCGATTGATAATTATTCCCGCTCAACGCTACCGTAGTCGAATTACTGTTATACACGAACATGCAATTCTTCACCAGAGCACCCAAACGGACCACCGGACTACTGGATGTAGCGGAAATGTATAGTCCACCACGATTATGAGCAATAGAGTTGGATCGGAATAGGAAGAACTGCAAAATTGTAATTTTGCAAAAATTTCAAAAAAAAAATTTGTTTTTTTGAAAAATAAAAAAAAACATTCCGTAAACACTCTGATAGATACCCATCAAAAACTTGAGCCTATATATCTCGGTTTGTGTGAAAGATATCAAAAAGTGGTCAACTAACAAAACGTTTATCATAATATCAGAAATATTTTGTCAGTTGACCACTTTTTGATATCTTCGATACGAACCGAGATAAATGGGCTCAAAGTTTGAGTGACCTTCTATTAGAGGGTTTACGGTATTTGACCGTACCACAGTATTATGCAAATGGAGCTGAATAGCTTGGCTTGATGTAGAAACGTTCCCGAATAAATGAATTCCATTAAAAGAGAACGAGGAGCTCTCAATGACCAGATTCGGGCTCATTTCTCCTAAATTCGAGTATTCTATGGCGCCACGATCGTTGTTATCCATTCGAGACCCTCGAATGACCACTTCTCCAACCGTATCTGGAATTTGCATATGCTCAGATTAAGTTGAAACTTGCATTTTTGAATTCAGCAAGTCAAGACGATCGATATGAGTATAAACATATAGACCTATTTTTAATTACTTTGATTTTTCAGAAACTTTGGAAATATTCAGAAAATCAGCCATAACTTTTTTTTTTTGAATTTGAAAATTCACGACGATCAAAATGAGTATAAACATGACCTATTTTCAGCAAATTTGATTTTTCAGATTTTTTTTAATTTCAGAAAATCAGCTATAACTTTCTAAATGTTCATCCAATTTAGGTGAAAACTAGATTTTCGAAATCGTCTTGTTTTTCCAGTTCAAATGAGCCTAAACACGACTAGGCTCCGCCCACTTTGAGTTTTGAGGTTAGAGACGCATTGTGTCTCGCTTCTCTGCGCTCTCGCCTCCATAGCTTTGCGTTTCAGGGTATATCTCAGATACGGATAGCCCGAATACGATAAAAAAGTATTTTTGAATTTGAAAATTCACGACGATCAAAATGAGTATAAACATGACCTATTTTCAGCAAATTTGATTTTTCAGATTTTTTTTAATTTCAGAAAATTTGTCATAACTTTTTAAATATTCATCCAATTTAGGTGAAAACTAAATTTTCGAAATCGTCTTGTTTTTCCAGTTCAAACGAGCCTAAACACGACTAGGCTCCGCTCACTTTGAGTTTTGAGGTTAGAGACACAGTGTGTCTCGCTTCTCTGCGCTCTCGTCTGACACGTTTTGGGGTATAACTTGGGTTGGGAAATCTCAATCTTTATGAAAAATATACAGTTAAAATATTGGGAAATTTTCACATCTTTTGAGCTAATAATCAATGAAAACCGGTGGAAATGAAGAATTTTATGATTTTTTGAAATTTTTCGAAAAATTTCGAAATTTCGAAAATTTTGATTTTTCAATTTTTTTCGAAATTTTCGAAAAAAAAACAGATTTTTTTAGAATATTTTGAAAATTCTTTGAACTAGGACTCATTCTGATCGTCTTCATCTAAAATTTCATAACTCACGTTGCTCAGAATTGCTTGGCAATGCCGAGACCTCCGCAATGAATCCATAGACGCCGTCAGCAGCTGTGGCTCTCAAATGAACGGCGATTTCTTCAGAAGACACGGCAACTGATGGATCCACAGACTGATAATCACTTCTAAAGTCAGCCAGAAGACTAGACGGAGAGAATGAGTCAGAACTATAGAGACGCAGAGCATCCGAGCGGCCTAAATCTGTTGGTGAGGAGTAGAGGTGGTACTGTACGATTCGGAAGGCTACACGACGTCCCGGGGAGGTGAAGATCTTCACACAATCCACAGGATAGGAGTCATATTTGTAGTAGAACTGAAATTCGTGAAATTTGTTGCAAGGTTAGACAGTTGGGTTAAGCAATGTGAGACAGTTAAAATTAGTCAAAATTAGACTTATTTTTGAAATTTCAGAATTTTTGAAATTTTCAAAACACAACTTATTTATATTCTTTCAAACCGTCTCAGTTTCTTGAAACGGAAAATATAATTTTCATCTAATTTGAGTCACTATTCGCCGAGATATGGGCAAAAACGAAGAATGAGTGCGAGAGCGCAGAGAAGCTATACAGCGCGCGGCGCCCCTTTCTTCAGAGTACTGTAACTGGGTAAGTTTCAGAGACTGAGAGATAAAAATGACATTTTTGGAATTAGCAAGACAAAACGGTTTGAATGAGTATGAGTTTAACTTATTTTTGGAAAATTTTTTTAAATTTGACCCATTTTTGGAAAATTCGCTTTTTTCGAAAATTTTCTTAAATTCAAAA